GGGGGGGGGGTCCAGACCCCCTGGCCCCCCCTTGTCTACGCCACTGTCCGGGAGGGTCGAGGGCTTGAGCAACTTGAGTGATTCGTGAAATGCAGTAGCGCAAGCGAAACGGAGTTTCACTAACTCCCCCACAAACATTTTTCCAGGCCTCTATTTTCCAATTGAATTCCAAAATAATTCCCTCACCTCTTCCCTCCTTCCCTCCTTCCCCCTGAAACACTCCTATCCTGAGTCTTGATGTCCATACGGAACGTGTCGAGAAAATTGCCCTTTTTGGGGGGGGGGGGGGAGGAGGAGTAATCTGGTCCGTGTCACATATTCATGAGTGAGGTAGGATTCAAATGTATTAGACCGCTACAAAATTTATCAATAAAATTCTATACCATGCTGAAGTATGTTGCAAATGATAACCATCCGCTTATCTGCCTAATAGATGCAATGCACTCTTCTTGAAGCGAAAGCAATTAGCACCGACAGAATTTATTCAGGTGCGCATAACCATACAAGTCCCTATACAGACACTCACTAAATTTTTCAGAACCTACATTTGATGAATTGACAAATTCCTCAATCGACTGTAAGACCGGAGGGTAAATGATATTTTTGAAAGATACCTAATTATTGTCACCCACATCGAAATAATCAGAAATCAGAATTTGGGCGCTTAGAAATATGTTTTTAACTTCATTAGGTACTCGGCGTACCTAATTTGTGGGAGTGATTTGTGGTATAATTACGCCTCCCTTTCCTTTCTTTTTTGTCCATTTAAATCCATTTTTAGGCCATTTTCGACATTTTTAGAAGTTACCCCCACATCTACCTATAAGAGTTGGAAATGACGTCTCTTCGCCACTCTGTCAGTGGTAGCGAATGTATTATTGCTTTTTCTTAGTAATGTCATACTGGAATGGACCGGAGACTGAATCTCTTCAAATCAAGGCATTCCAAAAATCCCATGAAAAGATTTAAGGTCCTCGAAATTTTTTTGGGTTATTTGAACAGTAGGCCTTGTCCACCAGGGCCGGATTTACCTACTTGCCGCCCATGGATGGGCCGCCTGTATTTTGCCGCCCCCTTATCATTCGTATTGAAACATCAATAAAAACCATCAAGTGAACGTTCCAGCGGGGGAGGGGTGCATAAGACGCGTTTACTCGTGTTGAACACATTTTTGGGGGATGCCCTGTCAACGCTTCTAGCAAAAGTTAAGTTTTGTAAACCTATCTCTGTGCGGACAAGGCCTTCCATTCATAAGAATTGAACGAAAAAATTATGAAAGAACAAACATGAATGTGGTTTAATGATTTTAACTTCCGCCGCCGCGCCGCGCCGACCGCACCGTGTTTGGCGCAATGCGTGAAGTATTCACGCAGTCTTGTAGGCGCCATGCGTTTCACGCTGACCGCACTATGTTTGGCGCAATGCGTGAAGTATTCATGCATTCTTGTAGGCGCTATCCGTTTCACGCTGACCGCAGTGACCACACTGTGTTTGATAAAATGCGTGAAGTATTCGTGCAGTCTTGTAGGCGCTGATATGTGTTACATGCCGATCGCCGCGCCGATGGCTTCTCCTTTTCATCTCAAGTCCTCGTCAATATTACTCTCTGCGCCGCGCCGTTCCAAGCCAAATTGCGTGTTTGGTTTCTCTCTTAACTCGACTAATTAAATGTGCTGTCTCTTGTATCACTGAAAGACGACAAAATTAAAAATTACTACACTCTCAGGAAATGAGAGATTTTGTCGTCTTTTCTCGTGTGTAATTTTTTTTTTCTAAATCCGATATTTTTTTATACCTACATTTAAAAAAATTGCAAAATTTGCCGCCTTCTAGATTTGCCGCCATGGGCCGCGGCCCACGTGGCCACTCCCTTGATCCGGCCCTGTTGTCCACACTAGCGCAGTTCGCAGAGCTTTTGAGCAAACTTGTTTCCGGATTTTATTTTAACTCAGCTACTCAATTATTTCGCAAAACCTTAGTTCCTGAGACTCATTCGCCTAGAAGTTCCGCAAACTGTGCCTGTGCTGTGTGACAAGACCGTGTACGTCACACAATGAGGAGATTTTCTAGGTTTTGATCCTTCCTAGCAATCCCCCCCCCCCCGCTGTTCTAGATTTTCACAGAGCTTGAAAGTCCCAAAATTTGCGGGGGAAGGGCTGAAAAATAAGTCACTAGGTGAAAAAGTTCGAGGGAAATCCAGGAGAGCCGAACATGACGTCAACGACAATTTAGATCTTTGATGTATGAATGAAGATAAAATAATGGATAAAATAGTGGAGCAGAAGTGCTTATGTGCGTCGGTGTGTCGCTTTCATGCTAAAGCGGTAGCTACCCACACTACTTTGCTAAGATAGAACGCCGTCTGAACATTCGGGAGTTGCCAAATTTCCTTCGATAAAATGTTTATTTTTTTAGGAAAGTTATAAATATTTTTCGTTGAAATTTGCAGAAACTTTTAAGCAGAAATTGCGAACAAAATTATCTGAAAAATTGGAGGGAAAATAGTCATGATTTTAGCAGGAAATTTGTGTTTCATCAAAGGGAATGTTGCAACGTCTGAAGGCTCGTGCGGCGTTTTTCCTTTTAGCACGGCAGTACAATCCCCCCCCTCCCCCCTATCCCCACACCCCATTCACACGCCGTTCGCTTGTTCAAGCTTCGTCCAACTGCATGCTTATCGTCAGTTTACACACCCATTAAAGTTTGATGCGTCACTTCTACTCCTTGATGTCAAAAATTTGATGAGCTTATTAGACAGCAGTTTTAATCATTCGACCAAAGATGTGTTATGAGCACAGCCCAGCCTGTGCTACACCTCTACTGTTGCTTCTCATCACCCACGTCACACAATTCTCAGTACCTATACGTCTTTGGATTACTGTCTGATCATGGAAATATTTGCGAACATTTCCTATTTATTTATTTATTCATTTATTCCGCCTCGACTTATTCCACCAATAAAGTCAACGCACTTATTCCATTGATTGTGAATTAATAGTAACTGGAGTGATCCATACTTGGGCTCTCGAATTGCGGTATCTTGAATTTCGTCAGATCATCGAGACACGCTGAAGTTTGTATTGTTTTGCCGATCGATTTCCTTTTATCATTTTTCGACGTGAAGTATGTACCTTGTTGGTAATGCCATCAGTAGTGTATTGCTTCGCAAGTGCTCCTGTACGTGTGTTTAATATTTTCCTCCACTCTAAAATTGCGTTGATGGGGGAAAACGAACTGGGATGTTAAAGTGAATGAAAAAAATATTTTTGCAACGATTAGATAGGGATGGATGTATGGCATGTTTTGCGTTTGTGCTAGAATGATTGGAAACATAATGTTGGAATATCCTGTACCTGTTTTTTGCGGATCGGACAAAGAACACTTTTTAAGCCGAACTCGCTTTCAGCATATTCCCTCAACGACGTCTATTTTTATGCTTAGTGTCAATTATCTAAAATTATGATTTGCTATGCGATGAGCATGCACCAACGGGATTCAATGAAGTCGCCTTCCGAAATTGTATTTACAGTCTCGACTGGTTGATCTAATATCGTGGTGTCAATACGCTGTGCCATGCGCCACGTGTATTCTCTTTAAAAGTTACAGACTTTCAAAGACTTACCTACATCCTCTTGATAAAAATCCCACATTCGCCGACTCAAAGTTATGCTCAAATCCTGGTAAGTTTCTGGTTGAAAGTTTTTATGCTGTTGACTAATTCAGTATCGTTGACACTCGAAAATATGATTCACTTATTTAATATTTATGCCTTCAGGAAATTCTGTCAATTAGTTGTAGCATAATCCATTCAATTAACTTGTTCAGACAATACAATCTTCTCGAAACTGAAATTATGACCCTCACCTCTTCCTCTCGATACTCTTAAAACACTGGATGTAATGGTTTATTTTTCTTATGTTTATTTTGTCCTCTTGCTCTATCACTAACTCATTTTTCTTATTCTTCCTCTATGATTCACTTATTTAATCTTTCTGCCTTCAGAAAATTCTGTTAAGTAATTGCAGCATATTTAATTAAATGAACTTTTTTTAGACCTTCAGACCGTACAATTTTCTAAAAAATGAAATGATGACCGTAATTTTCTTCCTCTTAATACTCCTAAAACACTGGATGTAACGGTCCGTTTCTTATCTTCCTTATCTTTCTAATCTTTCTTATCTTTGTTTTCTCTTTTTTTCGCCTGCTCTCTTACTAATTCATTTTTCCTATTCTTCCTCTGTTCTTTAATGTCTCTTTATTATCACTCACTTGCTTTTGATTATTTCTGATTTTAACTTGAGAAAGAGGATAGAACCTTAGTGATATCTATGAAAGCGAAACACAAGCATGGGACTAAAAACTCCTTCAATCCTACAGCTATGCAACTTAAGCGACTACGAAGTTGGAATAGTTGTATCACGGCGCCTTTCGCAATCATTTCACTAGGTATGTCTGCGCAGAGGAGATTACGTGTCGTCTACAGTAATGATAGATCAATTATTGAGAAATATTTTTTGAACACAAATTTTAGGTACTTCTCAAATCCTAATAACAGTTCGTATTAAATATTGTTAATTTTTCAGGTTAGGTTAATTTTTTAGGTAGAAGCTACTTTAAAGAGATCTATGTTTTTTCACAGGTTGGCGAGGAACGCAATATTTAAAGCCAAATACACAAAATGGGCATTCCTAGCACTCTTGGCAATTGTGAGCTTCATCAGTTTGCTGCCTCTGACCAGAAAGTATACAATTGTGCTAAATTCTTTTACAAAAGAGGTAAAGTTAAGCGGTTTTATAGCCTTTCAAAAATTTCCACAAAAATGGACGTCCTCATCTCAAAAATCTCAATAAAAATAATCACATACCATCAGAAGTTGCAACTAACATCGACAGTTCATCTTGAATGCCGTTTTAGCCTCTATCATTATTACCTTCTTATGCAAGTCCACAGCTCTTCTTTTCTTGGTAACACTATGCACCTGTTGCATTTATGTGTGAAATTTTTAGTGCTGTTATCAAAATTACTTAAAACTAGTTCATCTCTCTCGACCAACACATTTTCTTAAAATTGTAGATTTTTCTAAATAAATAAAAAAAAATCGAGGTTCTCGGGAAAATTATCTTTTCTGGAGGCGGGAATCTCTAGCAGACATTTTAAAACACCGCGGTGACGAGATGAGTGTTTTTGTAGTTTCACCATCAAAAAATGAGGAGCACACAATATTAATTACGTATTACTTCAATCGGCACAGTTGCATCGGGTTTTTTTGTGTTGCTGGCGGTTTTTTGTCACTTTTAAATTGTATTTTCATTGCGTCATTTCAGGTTCACAATACATGGACCGGGGAAGAATTGTTGGATACTCTTGACGCAGAGAGGAAAAGGATACAGTCTGCTCTGGTTAATTTCACTTTTCCCACTGAGAGTTCAACTCGGTAGGTGACATGACAGATGCATTTAATTAGAGTTTCTGGCCGGTTAGAAAAGGTATCCATTCTCATTTGTTATTGTGAGTTTGCCCTGAAATTGTCTGTGAACTTTTTTCTCTCATATAAAAATATTCATTGAGAATTTGATGAAGATATTATGATAAGTTTTCTTTTAAAAAAGAACACGTCATCGGAGATATTTAAACGTTGCAATGGAGGTACACATTTTTCAAAAGCCATGAAAAGCGCTAAAAAAATTTTAATAGCTTAAGCCGTGCCGTAGAGCTACCCCTCCCCCCTCAAACGTGACTTTAGAGGCTGCTCCATATTATCAGGCTCCTGTGAAGAATAAATGCTCCCATGCCTCTGCTTCAAGAAAAAATTCTGGCCAAACCTTTTTTAAGCTGTTTCATTCAAATAAGGATCGATGATCTCCAATTAATCATTAGCCATTATAGCGGATTTTGGAAATTACATAAACTGCTCATGACCTCAGAATGCAATGTACACACAGGTAGGGATTCGGGCAGTTATGCGATCAGAGAGTGCCAATTCTCATGCATGCCTCCAAAATATAGTTGGTGAGACATAAATCCGCACTTATTTAGGTTGCACTATTTCAAATTTTCATTTTCTTGTTTATTAAAAAAAAAAAAAACAAAAAAAACCCGGAGTATTATTTATATTTTTGAAGGGTATTTTTAAATAATTACCTACCTACTGAATAATTATGCAAAGTTTCACTGATTAAAATATTGGTTATTCTGTCTTAGAATGGAATATATCAGTGAGTTGCAATGATGCAAACCAAAAGTTGCGTTCATGATATAGATGGTACTGTGTAATTAGCATTTAATCAACCAATCATTCCAGTGGCGAAGCTTGAATGATCAATTTTCGAGATGTCCCCATTTGAAGCTATAGGTAGTAAAAAGTTGATTATTAAGGAGTTCGCTGCGAACACACCCTGTTCATCGATCCGTTTCCATAGGTTTAAATGGCAGATCAATCGATATATCGCAAAGCACGGCACGCCACTGAACTATGCTTTGTGTTCTTATAGATCTATCAAAGAGTTACTACTAGAGGAAGGAGGTGCTCAACATATGACGATCATTATTAGCTACTGGAGAAGTGGGTCAACTTTTCTCGGTGATATTCTGAATAGTCATCCAGCTACGGTCTATTTTTATGAACCGTTCAAAAGCTACCGAGCACAACAAATCAGATCACCGCCGCATTCTGAGGAAGCCTATCAGCTGCTTACACAACTTCTGAACAGCAACTACTCTGACACAGGTCTGTACCTATTTGTGAAAAGTATTTGGTTATCCCCGCCCCTTTTAATATTTGAGAGGTATAAAAAAATATTCACGCCACAAGGTTTTTAATGGACTTATCCCGTTTAAAACAAGGAGAGGTAAACAGGACTAACAGGAGGACTTCGGGTGTAAAAACTTTCAGCTATGGAAGAATCCCCTTTGCTCAAGCCCCCCCCCCCCCCCCCNTTAGGGAAGGTGCAACTGGACAATAGGAGCCAAACTTTGACAGAATAAAGTGGGCGCACTTAAATTGAAATGCTGCTCTCGATTGGCCGCCGCGCCGGTGCAGGTTCACCTCATATACAGGGTTCTTCAAAAGTCACGCACCACTGGCCATAACTTTAGTTCTACCTAATTATAATATCAACTTACGGTTTAAGACATTTTTCCTCATAGCGAGGGGGAAACTTTTTCAGGTACTTTCCAGTTTTTGATCTCCTCGGGGGAGGAGGGCGGGGGGCAACTTAAAAATTCCAAATGGTCAAATGGTGGTTTCAATGGTCTCATGGCCAGCGGTGCGTGACTTTTGAATAACCCTGTATATGCGCTACCTGGTAAGCGCCATTCCATTTAAGGTGGAATATTGGACAAAAATCGGCATGAAATCTCAATTTTCAGCTTTTCTCGGATCCGTTTCTTTGATAATTCAAGCGATTTTAGATCATCCATCACCCGGAGACACCGTGCTTATCAACCGTCGAAAACAAAAATAATGCTTTCTCTTCATTTTATTTCTATTTGCGCAAAACGGGTGGATTTACTCGCACTAGCCCCCCCCCCCCTTTGTTTTTTCCACTGAGATTCCGGTTTTCAGTCAAACTTGCGCAATGGTCTCGCTCACTTTTCAAAAGCATCCTAAGCAAAAAATTGAAACTGAAAAATCGAAATGTATACATTATCATTAATACTCATGGGTGAATCTGGGAGAAGCTCTTACTGTTTTCTCAATAATTTTTTTTAAAGTCCGTGTGTCATTACACCAGTTTTGAAGGCAATTAAATTTAAACTTAAAATATGCGAATTTAGCCGCTGGTATTAACTATACAAGAGATACCTACGAGTGTTTCTACGTTTCACTATCGGTGTGGAATTAGGTGGAGTTAGGTGGAATCAGGTGATGTTAAGATTGCCGTTGCAACCAGTTTGTCTGTAAATGATGCTTTCACACGGAAAAAAATCTTTGGTGCTCATAGCCAGATAGTAGGTGACATTTACCATCTTGGATTCCCAGATTCGACCCCTGAGAACAATTTTGCTACGAGCACAAATGTATGATGGTTAGAAACCTCAAACCGCGATCAGGTAGGCGTTGACAAAAAAGATGGTAATTCGCACCAACACTGCTGGGCGGGCGCGCCGTCCTCCGTAGACGTCCCTCACAGCGTTGCTAAGATAGACCTTCAAAGATGGTAAACTGACCCATCCGGATGTTTAGTGTATCAATCATGAAAGCAAGGAGAACCTAATATTTTGTGTTTTTAGCCATATAGAGGAGTATTTTCTTGTAAAACGTACAGCTGAAAAAAATTGAATACAAAGGTGTGCAATGTCGGGGTTCGCAGCTAGGGGATGCTGGAAAAGGGTTAATCGCGTAAATAAATTTCGAAATCGAGTAAAATGAGACTACAGTACTTATTGTGAGGTGCTGTGGTCGTATCCGACCTATCAAATTTTTTTGCCTACCGCGGGAATTGAACCTGGGACCTATCATACCCTAGCCGAAGACCCTAACGATTGAGCTATACCGAAACACCTGTGCATAGCTTCGATTTGACCGGGAAACCAGGATATTCAATCTATATACTTAGATTGGTTCATTCATTTTTCTAATTTTTGTATTTCATTGTATTTTTTAACGTTATTTCAGTTTTTTTACTTTATTTTATTTCGTTACTTCATTTTAAATTTTTTACTTTATTTTTTTTCTTTACGTAATATAATTTTTCTTTGATTATTTCTTTTTATTTATTTACTTTATTTTAATTTTTTCCCCTTTGTTTCTTTACTTAATTTTAATGTTTTACTTTATTGTTTTTTCTTTACTTAATATTATTTTTCTTTGATTATTTATTCTTTATTTCTTCCTTGATGTATTTTACCGTTAATTACTTTATTTTATTTCTTGCAATTTTTTATTTTTTTACTTTAATTCAGTCACTTCATTTTAATTTTTATACTTCATTAAATATCTCTTCGTTGTTATTTATCTATTTTTTCTATTATCTATTTTTTTTCGAGAATCAATTCAAAATTTTCAAACAAGGATTATTTTTATGATTGGCTTCCAGCATTGGACAAATAAGCCCAGGTTACTTACTTGAACAAGTGAGATTATGTAGAATAGAAAATAGAAAAATTACCTCTCTAAAGTACTGAAGCCTTGACATGGTGTTAAATATAGTGCATGCCTAGCCTACTGGTAAACCTGGGATGTTTAGCTTAACGACAGCATACAATTGACAAGAAACATTGTTAAAACATTAGTAACAATTGATAAATTTCTGCCATTTCCTTGGAATTTTGAATGTAGAAAAAAATTGATTTTGAAAACTATTATTAGTACCAGGGGCCTTTGGCCACTACGCTGCTGACAACCAATGCGGAAGAAAACAACATACGTAAAAAGTCGTAGAACAACCGTGTTCAAGTTATCTTGGAGATTAATGGATTCAAATACCGTCAATGTTTTATTTCTGATCAATGTTTTTAAAAGAATACACACTGTTATTCTAATGAGTTTCCGCAAATTTTCCTGGGTGATTTAAAATAGATAAAAGAAAATTTGACTTAAAACGCATAATATCCGAAATCTAAGCTCAGATTCGGCTTTCTCGTGAAAAATCGATGCAAATTCGTGTATCATATGTCACCATATCATGAAGGAAAGAGATTAACGTAGGCGTGTAGATTCTAGCATATCAGTCCGACGTGGCAACATGGGTGATTCGGAGTGGGTCAGCTGATGAGTAAGAAGAAGTTTGTTTTCTCGGAAACGGACGAACCAAATGCTTAACGCCGGCGCCTGGCGGCGTAGCTCAAACCGTTTCAAACGTTTGGATTTTGTGCCTACTTCCGCATACCGGCCGGCTTTGACAGAATCTTTACGCATACGATTACCCTCTTTTCTTTATGCTATGGTAACATATAATACATGAAACAGCATCGATTTTTCACGAGGAAGCCGAATCTGAGCTTAGATTTTGGGTATGATGCGTTTCAAGTTGAATTTTCTGAATTTGAAAATTTAAGACGGCGGACGTAGCCTAAATTGATACATCGGCTCCCATTCCATCGATTAAATTCGAATTTTTAGTCTAATTTCGAAAAACCAAGGTGGCGGGCGTGGCCTAAAACGCTATCTCGGTTCCTGCTCGTCGGATTTTCGTAAAACTTCGTGCCAAGGGGAGGGAGGGGGAGGAAAGAAATTTTCAAACACTGCAATCGATATGTCGCAGGCAAATAGTAAAATTAGGCATTTTGTCAAATGCCTAGGCAAATAGTCAAATACTAGGGGGCTATGCCCCCTGACCGCTACGCGGTCCAAACCCCCTAAAGGCGCTCAGCGCCATCAATGGGCCGCTTCGCGGCCCTATTTTTACCTCCTATCAGTGTTAGTTTTATTTTTCCCCTCAAAAATTACGATGTGAGGTATACTTTACTTTTAGAATGAAATAATTTTTGGTTTTGATGAATATTTTAGTTCGTTTTAATCCGTTTTTTATATCAGTGAAAAATTTAACATCGTCCGAGTTTCTAAATTGTTGTAATAAATGCCCTTTAATTATCATTAAAACCGAGCAGAGTCAAGAATAATTTATTGCTCGAAGTCATACCTATAGTTTTGCGGCGACTTTACCGTCGCCCGAGCCAGGGACGGGAAAAGGAGTACGCTCCACGAACATATTATTACACGCTTATCAGTCACACAAGGTGGGTTGAAATTTGAATATGAATTCTTGAAAATTTATCAACATACTTTCCCTAATCAGCCCATATCTGATTGCTTTCTTTGGTGACTCAATGTTGGTAGAGCGTAAAAAATTGACAGGGCAGACTACTAACAAAATACTTTAATTGAGTTATCTGAGATGGTGACCTTCATAATCAACAAGTTTATAATTTGCACTAACGCATTCTGTAGTTCAATGAGCCCACTTAACCGAGTAGCATTAACCAAAAACAAGATAGGTGAAGCGCAAGCGCACTCTTTGGTGCAATGAGTCAACTTGATGGAACAGTTTACCCTCAATTTTGTCTCGGTGAACAGATTTGTAATAGCTAGTAGCAACTAATTGAAAATGATTGATTTCCCTAAAGACGTTGTGGACAATACAATCATCATCTGAGTCGCTTCTACAGCGCTCTTTGGCGCTTTACGACGCCTAATCGCTACAAAGCTCGGTCTTCCCACAGGTCATTAGGGAGTTGACACTCCCTCATCTCACTCAACACCCCCTGTCGCCAACCTCTCACTTGGCGTCCCCTACGTCTCCTCCCAGGAGGAACCCAATCAAGCATCTTTTTTGGCAGCCTCTCTTCAGTCATCCTATTGACATGACCATACCAAACAAGTTGTTTGGTCATGACGTCGAACACGATGTCATTTTCGACTTCCATTATCTGACGCACTCTATCATTACGGACCCGATCTCTCCTAGAAATTCCTGCCGACCTTCTCCAGAAATCCATCTCCGTTGCTCTTAGTATATCTTGTGTCCGTTTCTTCAGCTGCCAAACTTCACATCCGTATGTTAATATACTTTTGACTACAGCGTTGTATATCCTCCTCCTGTTATCTTTGGAAATCCGCTGATCCCAGAGGATTCCATTTAACATCGCTATAGCCTTCATTGCTAAGGTGTTCCTTTCCCTGATAGCTTGATCCGTCCTTCCATCCTGGGTCAACCGCACTCCCAAGTACTTAAAGACAATATACATGTTTGTATACACATACTTGTGGACAATACAATGCCGTTAGTTATTCTATCAATTTTTCCATGTATACGGCACCAAATTTTAATTAACAAAACCAAGATGGTTATCCGCGCACAGTCATTTTTTTCCGTGCAGTGAAACTTCATTTTTCAATTCCTAAATTCAAAAGTAATTGATACCGTATAGACACTCTCAAGCAGATATGTTCCCGCAAGCGCACTCATTATGCTCGTTTTATGTGTTTCAGAGGCGTATTTAGAATTTGAAAAAAACAGAAATTCCTTTGTCAAACAAAAAAATATTCCGCTGCACAGAGTCTGTAAGCATAAAGGCGCTAAATGTTTTGAGCCTCATTTTCTTTCGCAGTTTATGAAACTTTATCCCTTTATGGTGATGAAAATAACCCGACTTCGACTGAGCCTCATAGAGCCGTTTCTCATCAGCTTAAGGTAGGAAAACACAAAGTATCGTTTGACTCAATTTTTACCCACTTTAAAAATTTTCATCGACAAAAGACAATTAAAAATTGTTAATCCCTATAAAGTAGAAACAAAAAGAGTTCCACCGTACAGGGTGTTCCAATGCCAGAATGCTTGCAGGAGCGTGTTGTGAGAATCAAAATAAGAATTTTCTCTCCTTTGTAGTTTTCATTTCCAAAAACGCCCCTATCGGAGCTACGGCTCTACAAATGAAGAAAATCATATAGTTCTGTCTTAGGTTTATTCTTAAGTATTAAAGTAAGTATCGTCGAAAAATACTTTCACATTCGCTTTTTGCGTCTGAATGGATTCTGACTTTTCGTTGATGTTTTAAAAACTTCCCTGAGATTGGGGTTTTCGTGAGCAATGATCTAAAAATGCTCAGAGGGAGCGGGAGAGCTATGACTGAACCTTCCTCTATTCATACGAAAAATAAAAGGACTAGGTACATCTAAGCCAAGAGGCAAAGTTATAAAAAATTTCCTGGATGCGGTTGGACTGAAACTTAAGGAAGAGTCGCAGATAATTCATTCAAATCCCTATTCCAGGTACAATTTGCGAGTTATCCTTTTGGTGAGGGATCCTCGAGGGATAATGACATCAAGATCCCACCATGCATGGTGCAACAAGGATCCAGATTGTGCTCAGCCGCTTCATACATGCTCAGATATGATTGCAGATTATGCGACAGCCATTCGCTTTTCCGAAATGTTCCCGAAGCGATTCATGTAAGTTATAATCCCCTCTTTCATCCTCCATGAAAAGTAACGCAATTTACAGCTTTTTGTATTTTTTTTTTTTTTTTTTTTTTTTTTTTTTTTTTTTTTTTTTTTGAGTTTGGTAACATTACTGGAATCATCATTTATGAGGTCCGTATGTGTGTAAAACATGGGCGAAGCTAGAAGAGCCCCCGGGGCCGAGCTTCTCCCCCCCCCCTCTCAGAGAGGCGATGGCCCATTCCCTGAAAAGCTGCGACTGTCAGTGTTAGTAATGACTATTCATTCTAAGGATATGTCGAACAGATAAACAACATAACGCATTGGAACTTGAAACTTTCCATTAATTTCCCCTTGAGTGCAAAGAACATACTCACTCTGATGTTGATCAGGATTTGTCCTAAAGAGGACAGTTTCTTGATTTGCTTTTGAGGAAATACATCATATGAAGAAATCAGGCAATGCGAAAGGTAGCCAGGCTGGTTCCAGGTAGAAGCCGCTAATTTTTCAAATTTGTAGAATTGCTCGGAGTCGAGCAAAATGTCTCTGGATATTTTGTGGGTAATAGGTACCGCCTTACTCCTGCTTTGAAACGGTCGCATCTTTTGAATTCGGTGCGTACGCAGCCAAAACACGAGTTGAGCGTCATTTAGCGGTGGCGACTCGGAATCAGATCAAGTGCCTTCAGACATTCGTATAGGTGATACCGCATTGCTTCCGAGTTCAAATAGTCGTATCACTCGACTTCGAACGACCAGTAGTGACACCTTCCTCGCCTGACCTCGAGGTTGATTTTAAGAGGCCGCTTTGACTCGACTAGACAAAGTTCAATGCTATATTTTACACAGGTTATAACCCTGAAAAATGAATTTGGTCTACAGTATCATCCAGTATTCTTAAGAATTTTATAATGCGTTTAGTATCGAAAACTGGAAATCAATATTTTTTCCCCTACACATCCATTTTTTCGCTTCTTTAATTGATAGGCCTCCAAATAATGCAATTTTGAAGAGTGATCATGTGACTTTTTCTGAATCAAGCTTTATTGTCTAGCGTCCCACTTGATAAATCATTTTGAATGCACTTTCTCCCCACTTCACCTCTTTTCAATAAACTCACAAAAAAAAGGAAAACAGCTTTTTACATCAGGGATAGGCAAAATAAACGCTCGATCCTTCATGTAACTTTATGTGTCACAAGTAGGGGTCCTCCCTTGAGAAGTTTAATATTTTCGAGGGTGCCCCCTCCCTGGTCCTTCTAGGAGTCAGGAAATCGTGCCCCCCCCCCCCCCCNAGTATATCCCCTGGATTTTTAGGAGTCCAAACCGGAACATGTTATCTCAATAATTGAAAAAGTAATGGCATATCGAACCCTCCCTCCCCGCCTACCCCGGTACATTTCCCTCAAAGAATAATTATGGGTAAATCTATGTATTCCTGAGTTTACTTGAATGTTTACCCCTTTTGCAGGGTGCTTCGTTATGAAGAGTTGGCCTTTGAACCTCTGAAGAAAACAAGGGAGCTGTTTAGATTTATGGGGCTAAAACTGCACCGCAGTGTATTGAAGTTCCTTTTAACGCACACAAAGTTCAAGGCAGGTGGCGCCTTTGGCACTTTTCGCAACTCAACAGCAACCGCTTTAGCGTGGCGCAGCACCTCACCAGAACGCATATTGAACATCCAGTCTCAGTGCGAGATCGCAATCCGGCTTTGGGGCTACTCATTTATTAGAAATTTCATGGACCTTCAGAATTTTTCGCCTCTCAAGCCTAACTTCACTGTCGCCAAACATTTCCGTCTTGATGCTGAGGAGGGTGTAAATTGCAAAATATGAGCTTTGTTTCTCAAGTAACCAAGACTCGAAGAAAATGACATGAGAGGAGAATACACAGTATAATGATTTAAACTAAAAGTCAGCAAAATATAAGGTGCCAAGAACCCTTCATAACAATGCTGTCATATTAAGCCCCAGTTTATGCCCCTAAAAAATTCTTATTTTTGTTCATTTTCACTTGCATCAGCTCCGTATCATAAGACTCGGAATGTTATTTTAAAAATACGACCCCCCCCCCTAAATGAATTTAATTTCAGTTTCATGAATTTAGGAAAACACTTTTTTGGAAGAAAATAATTTTTTGATATGATTTGATATTTTTTTTTAGTTCATTTTGTAAAGTTACGCATTTTGCTATTTATGGAATATTTTTGTTCACTTTCACTTGCGTCAGTACTGTATCATAAGACTCAGAATGTTATTTTAAAAATCCACCACCTCCCCCCCTAAATGAATTTCATTTCAGTTTCATGAGCTCAAGGAAGTGTTTCATTAAGAAGTTGACAAAATCTTCCCATAGATTCAAACATAACTTTTTTTGAGAGTCCACGTTAGATAAGTTCCCGCGCTTTTAGACTCTACTTCTAGAGTGCGGTTAGAGATAAGACTGTGTTCGCTCTCTTACATATAGTTTAGCATATTGAAAGCAAATACATGAATCATGATGCCGGATCGCCTGTCGCATTCTGAATAACGTGCGTTACTAATTTTGCGTGTTTTCGATTTAAACTTGTAAACCTATCGTCATTTCAGCAGGGTGACCTGTGACCTCATAACTCACGCACTGTGCTGGTTTTCAGCCAACAACCAGCACACATTTTCAAATCAGGCAGCTAGTTGCCTAATTTGAAGTGTTATCCGTCCACTTAGTTTTAGTACTGAATACTTTTAAACTGAACATGTACATAATATCGTCACCTTCCAGGCAAAGTATCACAAGCGCCATGCGACGTTTAAAAATTTCCGCCGCCATTATATTTTTTTACAGAGAAATTGTTCAACAAAGCCGTCCGAAAATTATACCGAATTTTATTTGTGCTGCCGGTAAAATTTAGTGAAATTTGTGAACAGATTCAACCAACAATTTCTCAGTAAAAAAATAAAATGGCGGCGGAAATTTTTGAACGTCGCATGGCGCTTGTGATACTTTGCCTGGAAGGTGACGATATTCGCATTGTTCTTAATAAGAATACTAAGTAGTTACCTCATTAAGCACTTTTTTATGAGATTTTTTTTTATTGAAAATACAATTTTTTAAAAATAAGTTCTCCATTAGTTTTCTTTTTTAGTTTTTATTCTGATTAAAGCAGAGCCTATTTTTAGCGAAAAAGAACCAAGTGTTTAGAAAAGGAGGGGGTCTGCTCGTTAGTTGTTTGCCAAATTCTCTATGAAGAGACGGTAAACTAAAGCAATTAAAAATCAATCGTTCCTTTTATTGAAGTATGTGAATTTCAGAGGCAAACACAAAGAAGCTAGCCAATACTGATCAATCAATATGCTTTCTCCTATGATTAGTCGAGCTCATTTTCAAAAGCGCACGGAAAACATAGGTCTATTGATGGATCTCTCTGCAGACAATAAAAACTCCTTCAATTACAACACCTGCAATTTGCATAACATCTCGTCCCCGCGGCATTCGCGGTATGTGCTGCGCGGCACGGCGCTATAGAGCTTGGCATCAGACTTGCGACACTTGCGAGGAGAGAAAGCTTACTGTTGCCCGTCGGCTAAGTAATAGCTCCACGCAAATAAGACCAAGGCACGAGGCAAATCACTGCCTCGATGCAATTGAATTTGCATTACAAAGTTGCATCGAGCAAGGTATGACCACACACTACACTCACGCGAGAGCACACTTCAGCCAGCTCGACTAGAGCATCGTTTGAAACCATATCCAAGACATCATCCTCCGCTCCACATCTTACCGTTGGTCCAGAAACATGTCTGATATGCGAATTTCTAAATTAAGCTCATGCAAGCCTGGTTTTATTTATCAATGAATCGATGACTGCATTCGGGAACTACTTATATTAATTTTCGAAGCTGCTGACTCCTCGTCTCTATTTATTTTTTATTCTTTCCTCGTTTATTGGGTATCAGTACCTAAATTAATCGAAAAATCATAAAAATTCAGACACCAGGACGGATTCTTCCTCAGACCTCCAAAGGAACCTTTTTGTGCCTGGCATACTTTTAAAATGTACTGAAAAAAGACTGATGTAGATTATTTATGACGTAACCAGTTGGGAACAAGAGTTGTTGATGACGGAACCAGTTTTGCAAATATTTCAAGTCTCAGCGGTGGCTGGTGGCTGTGCCTCCGATTTTCGCTCTGAAGTATCGAGAGGATCTGAAAAGAAAGGCTTTTTAAGTTCATACCTGAGCGATCAAAATTCTTGATGAATTTTCAGCACCGCAGTAATTTCCTCGCAAGCTCTCATCGCGATACCGCGCAATCATGTAATATGGTGGATGTTTCCGGCGAATGAAGTTTAGTTCAGTCTACTTTAGAGGTGTAAGTAAAAAAAAAAAATAAGCAACTTGAAATGATTATACGATGTAGATTTCTTGCTGCATTTTACCTTTTTTTTTGGAAGACTGGCAAATCTTACTTCTTGGAATTTTTCCTGACTTTTCCTCGTCTTATACAAAAAAAAACCGGCGCTCCGCTTCGCTCCGCGCCGGTTTTTTGGGGGGGCTTCGCCCCCCCAAGCCCCCCCAGGACGCGCGCTTCGCGCGCGCTTTTTAGTTTGAGTGTCCATTCCAGTTGTTCTGTCTTCTTAAGCGACCCGCGCGTCCACCGCGGGAAGAGTGTATTTTCCGAAGGGGGGGGGGGATCAATCTGTAAGGGAATGAATTAATTTCTTGAGCACAAGATAGTAGTTGCGTACGTTGCCAGCGAACGCGCTGCGAAAGGTTGTGACGGTTAAATGGTGAGATTTTGTTCAAGAACAGATCATTTAACCTGACCCACTGTGCGACGAACAATTTGTCCAGAATCTTCCTTCCCCTGACCCACTGTGCGACGAAAAGTTTGTCCAAAAACTTCTCTCCCCTGACCCACTGTGCGACGATCAGCTTGTCCAAAAACTTTCTCCCCCGACCCACTGTGCGGCCCTGCTCCGGCCGGCTCCCCTCATGCCGCGCACCCCTCGCCTAAAACTTTCAAAGCTCGCCATTTTTAAACGGCTCGGCCGATTTAGCTCAAATTCAATACCAAACCAGTCCTAGGGGAGAACTACCACCCGTAAAAATTTCAGCTCAAAATATTCATTTTCGCTCGAGTTATCGAGTGGACAAGATTTGACCTCCCCCCATTTTCGAGCCCCACCCCTCAAAATCTATTGCCTCAAATTTCAATTTTTTTTCGCAGAATAGTAGTCCTAATGAGTCTCTACAAAATGCAAAAAAATTGGTCAAAATATCTTTCAACGTAAGAAAGATATAACCACTCAAAAATCGAAAAATCTTCAAAAGGCGGAAATACATACATACATACATACATACATACATACATATATACATACATATATACATACATATATATATACACATGAATTTGAATAGCATATATTTTCGTGATCTACGACCCGTGATCGGTGCTCTTCACAATGTCTCAGGTCTGGGTCCGACATCATGGGAGAATGCAATAGTGTATTTCCTTCGGAAAATACACTAAAAATCTGTACAATTTTGAACAAAAAATGTATTTGTTTTAATTTAAAATACACATTAGCTACAACGAACATTTTGAAACTATGGAATCAAGGTACGTGTTTTCTTACGTTCAATTTCAATTAACCGGATCGGCACTACCAAGCACTCGCTTATTTCGTGGCAGACCCGCAAAAAATCACAAAAATCGTCGGTGCTCTGACGTAAGGGCGAATCTCGATATGCATATGAACCCCAGAAAGAATGAATTCATACGGACGTATTTCTGCCAAACGGAACTATGTGCAATATGATGTGAGCCCTGTTATGCGTATATTCTTATAGACCTCAGGGCTCATGTCTTAATGCACACAGGTCCGTTTGTCAGAAATACGTCCATATATAAACGGGACTCATGTGGGAATTGAGGTACATACTTATTTCAGAGGGGCGACGATACTTCATCTCCTGATTTTTTTCATGATCTACTCCAAACGTTTCACTTGAAATTTTGTTGAATATAAAATGTTATTTATGGATTGGCCCCCTCAGAAATTTTGAAACCCTCTTGCAACACCCCCCCCCTTTGAAAAAAAATCCTCATTTTAATTAATTGTTAATCAAATAAAACTCCGTGTTAACCACAGGTAAACCGAATCGCGGATACGTAAACCGCGGATTACAGACCCTATTGTGAAAAAATTAGCCCTTGTGCAAGCCGCCAAACGGTAACAGAATTGTTATTACCTGATTTATTTTTAAGTTATGTGATTTTTCCATTTTACCAGAATTATTGCTTTTTTACCATCGCAGAGCATCGGCGCACCCTCAGGGATCTACGCAAGCTTTCCTCGCGTTGACTTTAATTCCTCGTCTGTATGAAAGTGCGAAGTCTGGTCCTACGACCTCCTGCCAGGTTCTAGTACCGTGATTTCAACTCTTGTTTAAAAAAAAACTACGAATTTTTTTCCCTTTATGTAAGGAAAGGCATAAAATATGATGAGCAAGGCAACAGGGAGACAATGTTGCCGTACCGCCGTTAGTTGTTACGTAAGATGCATCGTCCTTGATTACTGGGAGCTCCGTCAGACTGAGCGAGGAGGGGAAACATTTTTGCACAGGATTTCAGCGTCGCACAGTGGATCGAGCCAATGGGAAGGGTTGGACATGATTTAAAAACTTTAAAAGCGTATACCTCCATGAATATGAAATTTTGATTTTATAAGAGTAGTTTCACTGGTTTTCTCGTAAAATTGTCTATGAGTAGCACTCCTAAAAACTAAAATTGTGACAAGATAAACGTAAAATTTTACGACTATTGTGAAGAATTTTAAGTCAGACTGCTTTCAAAGACTTGTTCCACTGTGCGTCGGATTCCTCTCGATCCGCTCTTTTTCCGGCGTTCCTCAAAGGCGAGATCTCGAAACCACCAAACCACTGGCCTCAGTTTGCGACGTTACAGATTTCCTGTCATATTTTCTTTCTGGGGGAAGCCTGGTTATCGTTATTGTACAAAATCTGTGCGATTTTTCTTTACCTTCCCAAAATATCCCCGGAACAATAAGAAAATATAAAAGTAGGGGCATGGTGCCCATAGCAGGGGCCTCTGAAAAATTTGATGAGTGTAAAAAAAAAAAGATACATATTTTTTTTGTCCCAGGAACACCTTCAAGATTTTACGGATTCTTTTTCACTTTTGTTTAACAATGTGTCTAAAAGTGTTTCCTCTTGCATATTTCGTTTGTGCAGAAAAAAAAAAGAAAAACCCGTTGTCGTGAAAAGAAGGGTGTCCATTTTTTTTTAGTCCTGTAGTTGATCTCAAGAAGCGAGGGTGTAGTGTAGCTTATGCTAAAAATTTACCCCAATAATACAATTTTTAGCCCTGAAATTATTAAAACTTTTACCATCAATAAGTCTTGAGAATGAAAAAAATGCACATAAATTTTTTTCCCAAAATTCTCCTCAGATTTTAGATAAATTCTTTAAAATTTTTCACTCGCTTCCGTGTCCATCCAATGAGATACCTGCGTCCATCTCGGGAGACCCGGAAAGGGGGAGGGGTATGTCAGCGTTGAACAAAGGACGAAGAAACTCGGGTGCGGCCTTTTCGCGAAGGAGCCTTTGCGAATTTCTTATGGCAAAGGGGAAGGGGGGTTACTGACCCTTGATGCCGCGTTGCGGCGTTGCCTGACGGTCCTTCAACTCCACCGTGCTGAGGAAGAGCGCCAAATAAGCATTCCATGGTTGTCAAATTTCCCCCGGATCACATGTTCATTTTTAAGAAAAGTTAAAAACATTGCTTCTCGAGGTTTTCACGCTGTAAGTTTTTCATAAAGATAAAATGAAAAATTCATATATAATTTGTTTGAAATTTTAAAGGAAAAATTCACTACTTATTATCCTCTTCTTCTTCGACGTCTGAACTACACGGGCGTACGTCTATATCGGTTTTGTTTTTGAAAAATTAAACATGTTACTAAAATGTGGAATACCGAGGTCGATTTATCAGCTATCTCGATCGATTTTCAGTATCGATGACCAAAGTGTGAAACCACGTATCTCCATTTGCCGCGTTCAGACTTCCTGTCATACTTCATTTTTCCTTTGGTAAGCGAATCAACGTTATTTCGTGGAAACTTCCTTGATTTTTCTTCTCTGTCAGCAGAATATTCTGTATAAATTTCAAGCTATAGGGTTTACTTATTTCTCTTCGAAAAATGAAATAGTAGCGGGTATTTTGAGACACCGCAATGGAGAAACGCAGTTTCGCACTTTGGCCATCGATATATCGAGGGCTCAGAAATTCGTTGTCCTCATTCCCTTGGACTTGGATAATGTTCAGTCTTTAGACCAATATTCCGGATCTAGGATATTTTTTACTTGAGTTCGAAGAAATGTTTATCGAACATTGGTCCAATTTATTTAAATTACGTATATAAAATCGATCCATGTTGGTATACATATCTACATATTATTTAATTTTTTTTCTTTGGAAACAATTGTATTTTATGAATTTTAAGAGAAGAATTTTGGCAACTGGCGAGTGTCCGCGCCGCGTTTTTTTTCTCGGCACGGTAGAACACCCCCACCATGGTTGACAAATTGGCGCTCCCTAGACTGATTCCACGAGACCAGCTCTCAAGGACACAGCTCGCGGATTGGCAGCGCGTAGACCAGCTCCCGAGGACTATTCTGCCGTGCTAAGGAAGAAAGCCGTATGAACATTCAGGCGTTGCCAAATTTCCTTCGATAAATCACTAATTTCACAGAAAATTCGTGAATATTTTTCTTCGACTTTCTCAGGAATTTTGCTCGTTATTTGATCTAAGGAGTCTGAAATTTCAAGGCAAATATCGAAAATTTTCGTCAAAAAAAAACATTTTATCGGAGAAAATTTGGTAACTCTCGAATGTTCATACGGCGTTCTTCCTTGGCACGGCAGAGCTTCCGAAGACTATTTCTGCCGTGCTAAAGAGAAACGCCGAATGAACCTTCAGGCTTTGCCAAATTTCCTTTGATAAAACACGAATTTCCTGGTAAACTTATAAATATTTTTCCTCGAATATTTCAGATAGTTTTTTTTCGCAATTTTACCTGCAGTTCCTGCAAATTTCAAAGAAAAATATTCATAACGTTCCGCAAAAATAAAAATTTTATCTAAGGAAGTCTGGCAACTCTCGAATGTTCATACGGCGTTCTTCCTTGGCACGGCAGAGCTCCTGAGGACTATTCTGCCATGCTAAGGAAAAACGCCGTATGAACCTTCAGGCGTTGCCAAATTTCCTTTGGTAAATCACGAATTTTCTAGAAAATTTGCAAATATTTTTCCTCCAATTTTTCAGATAATTTTGTTCGCGATTTCACCTAAAGTTCCTGATAAATTCAAGGAAAAATATTCTTAACTTTCTTCAAAAATAACTCTTCTCTGAGAGGAAATTTGGCAACTCTCGAATGTTCATACGGCGTTCTTCCTTAGCACGGCAGTATTCTCCAGAGCATCGGGAGGCGGTGGCAGCTGAGGCTGTAGGCGATCCCGGGTTGGCGCTGCGCGGCGACACGACGGCATGAGCGCGGTGTCAGTGCGTTTCGCGAGAGCCGCGTGTGACGGAGGGTCAGTGGACAAGCGAACATGGGCTCGGCTTCGCGGGAAGTGCGCGGGTTCGGGTTGCTAGTGTGAGCGGATTCCGGATCCCTGCCGAAAAATGCAGGACACCCTGGAGCGGGCTCATCCCCGACTCTTCTGCGGCATGAGACGGAGCTCCTTCCTCTGCCTCCTCTACTTCCTCTTCTACGCCCTCTACTTGATCCTCGGAGGGCTCGCCTTCGCTGCCATCGAGGGACCCGGCGAACAGGCCCTCAAGCAGGAGGTCGCCTTAGCTCGACAAGCCTTTTTGGCGCAGTATCCCACTGTCTCAGGTAAGAATTTTCACTTGTTTATTCGTTCCTTATCTTCTCTGCAAAAAAATTCTCGGCGTTTTTACCAAGGTCCGTTGGCACCTTTACTATCCCACTCTTTTTTACCAATTATTGGTAATTTTACCAAGACAGACTGGTAAGCTTACCTAAAAACCGGTATTTTTACTATTTTTTTCAGGTAAGAATCCCACTTTTATTGGTAATCAATTCTCGGTAACTTTGCCATTTTATCTCGGTAATTCTACCACAGTCGATAACAAATATTGGCGTTTTTACCAAGATACAGTAAAATTACCGAGAAAGTTTAATAATTTTACCGAGATTTCTCAGTAAAATTTCCAATTCCATAAATGGTAATTTTACCTAGAAAAAACTAGGATCAAATAGAACACTGAATCCTTGGTAATTTTACCCTTTTCCTAGTAAATACACCGAGATTTTTTTTTTCAGTGTTTATTAGTGCTGCCATTTCCCGGAATTAATTCGGAACTTTCCCCGGAATTTTCAGCTATTTTCGGAATTTACTCGAAAGTTGCGAATTCTCGCCAGTTTGACCATTCATTTGATCAAATTTAGGGATTTTTTTATCAAATTTGATGATCCTCGGAACTAAATCCGGGCGTATTTCGTAATTTTTCCCCGTAATTGTTCTCGGAACTTTGAAAATCGGAATTATTTCGGAATATTTTGATACAATAAAATGGCAGCACTGATCTTTATGGCAAAACGGGCTTTGGGACCTAAAAACCCAAAAACTTAAAAGCTGTAGTTTCCTTGACGAATAATCCTAACTCCATCCCAAAGTTGCGAAAATGATACTATAATAACTCAATTTTTTACAAGAATACGGTTGTGCAATTTCTGTCCATAATATTGCTGCTTTTTGTCTGTAATCAGGTGGAAAATCAATGTTATTAGTCATAAACGCTCTGTAATTTCCCAGTTAAAGTACAATCTACAATTCCGCCGTGCTGAGGAAGAACGCCACATGAGCATCCGAGAGTTGCCACATTTTCCTTGATAAAACATGTATTTTTGGTGACATTCATGCATATTTGTCCTTGAAATTTTCAGATATTTCAATTAAATTGCGTACAAAATTGTCTGAAAATTTTGAAAAATAATAATCGAAATTTTCTCAGTAAATTCGGTTTTTAGCGGAGGGGACTTGGCAACGACTGGAGGCTCATACGGCGTTCTTCCTTATCACGGCAGAATTGACGATTTACACGATTTCTTATTTCGGCTATGGAACGACGAATTGTAGAAACTAGATATTCGGCTTCCCCCAACTAAGAGCCGTAACTCCATTTCAATAAGGTTTCAAATTTGACCAGAAGACTTCATTTTTTACGAGAACATGATGGTGCAATTTCCGCCCAAAATGCTGTTAGCTTTTATGCGTGGGTAATCAGAGGAAAAGTTGGTAAAATTTTCAGTGATGAATGTCGAATAGTTTCCTCGTAAAGAATGGAACTTTATAAACGGGACCTTTGGAACGTTTCTAGTGCATAGGAGTTACGTTTTTCCGTCTGAAAAGTGATGCATTAGTACGAGAGTGAACTAAACCGCACGGGGTGCACATTATTTTTAATATAGGGAAGTATTTTCCACCAAAAACTAAAATGCCGATTTTCCTGTCTGATTTCACCAAAATCCATAACAAATTGGTCTTCGCCCACGCATTAAGGTTCCTCCTCCCCATGGAGATCAAATGGATTGCATTTTGCAAAAAGGAACCAGAAGCATTGCCATGTTGCTAAGATTGTGTGACTTTACCCTTAGCAATAAAATTACTGTAATCATGCTAAAATATGAAATTTACACGGTAATTTTGGTATGAATTTACAGTTTTTAGTGTGTGAAATAGAAAACGTTTATAGATGACCAGGTTTTTCTTCCGAGACAAGAGAAGTTACACAATCTTAGCAACATTGCAATGCTCTTGGTTCCTTTTTGCAAAATGCAGTCCAATGTTACTATGCGTTTTCGTGTAAAAATTAAATTGCCTAATTAAATCTGGCAATAGCTAAGGTGGCTTGGTTCCTTTCTGCTTAACGCGGTCCAAATTTATGTCACATCTGCTCTTAAAAATAAATAGAAAAAAAATTAAACTTCATAGTGAAATGCACCTACACCGTTTGCAATAGACTCTGGCTTTAACTCCTTCATTCGAATTCAACGCATCCGGTGTAGTGTCTGCACAAATCAAATTTTTCAAAAATTTTGAAGTCATTATTTCTGACACAGAAATAAAATAAGATGGTAAACGGAACGAGAAAAAAAGAAGATACTCGACAGGTACTCGAAACCACACCCTTGTTGTCCTCCCCCAAACGTCGAAAACAAATTCTTGAGCGCCCAAGTCGCTGGTACCGAAGGATTTAATGAAGCGCGCGGCTGAGTTTCTCAGCGTTTCGAAGTCTCCTCTCCACAGATTTCATACACGAGTGATTCGACCACGTCGCTAATGCGCGAATTTCAAGTCGTTCAAAAGATATTGTCGTTAAAATTCAATTAATTATTCATAATATTCACCATCGATCGCTGGGGGTAGACGCCTGCTAAATTTATCTCAGCCAATGGTAGAGAGGCTCATCCAGGTCAGATTTGACACCATCTCCCTAACTATTCGCCCCGAGCTGCGATCAAAAATCAATCTCATGAACACGAGTTATCGTCTTATCATAATTTCACGCCTCCGCTAGGTACTTTACCCCAATCGATTGTTTTCTTGCTGTCGTCAGCACCTGCTGTAGATTTTGAATATCGATGGTGAAACCGGAAAAAACTACCTGCCTCGATTCATGACATCGTAAATGGGTCACAGTTGCACTGATCGCATACTTTAGTTTCGATAGTTCAATTCTACGATTAGTAGAAAAACACCGCTGATCCGACCGAATCCCTTTTCTGCGTCCAATATTAACAACAATTTCGCTCCTTAAAAATCACGATGTATGAAGTCATTCATCGTGATGGCACTTACTAATTACTCTATGAGGCGTGCAAATTCAAAACTTGCGGTAAGATTGAACTACCAGGTGCTGCTTAGATTGTGCATGGTGTTCCTCACTGTGAAAGAGTCAAAGTTCCTTCGTTCATGGATTTTTTACCGGGAATTTGCATAGGAGAAAGATATTTGAAGACGGAATTTGAAGGGGAGCCCGATGCGACAGAGTCTCCCCTTCAACTGGACAAATAGGCAAAAAATAGGCCCTACGAGTCGGAATAGTCATATCATCAAAATTACACGTACGAGCCTTCACGGCGCGAAATTCTCGCTCTTAATTGAAAATCGAAAAGGAAATCAGTATTGCAACAGAATATGTTCGGTATCTAGATGTTTCTTCACTTCCTGTATTGATTCACTTCAATAAATGATCCCGATACGATTCAAATCTATCGCCAAGGCGTGGAACTACCACTGCGTGAGGAATCTAGTTAGGTTACGTTAGGTCACGCAACTAAATTAACTTCGCGGGAACGCGGGGGGTATCGCTCGGAAATGAAGGCGCGCGGCGCGCCACTGCTAAGTCACGCAGATTTCTTCTGCAGCTGCAATTATAACAGAGGGTTCCAAGTTTCTCTCCTTTTCTCTTTGGTACACAGTGCACTGTGTACGACCAGTAAATCATTGGCTACGGTTGACTTTGCAAATCTCCATTCATTTTTAATTTTTTTTAAAAGGAAACCAGCACACAGTTTTTTTTCGGAAGTTATGCTTTTCTGAATTGTATATATTCACAAAGAAGTTTAGGGAGTGCGGCAGATAGGTACCTCGGGGGAGGGGGCATTTAGGGTTGAACCATTTTATGTTAGAGTCGTCACCGTGAGAGCTGCATTACTATGCGATTTAAAAATGTCCTTCCCTGTACTCTATCCTCGGCCATCATTCTGAATCTTTTTTCTTCTTTTATCTAAAAAAAAAAAAAAAAAAAAAAAAAATCTCAGTGTTTAAATGCACTTATTACTTAGTTCGAAATCTGAAGGAAAAGAGCAGAAGGCGATTTGAAAATGACAGAAACTGCTGCTCTCAATTAGGAAATCACAGTGACTTTTTACTGCTATAGTGATTGTGCGCGGACTTGATTCTGTATAGATGATAGTTTATGGTCTTATCGTGAAAAAAAGAAAAGAAAAAAAGAGTAGAGATCTTCAGACATTGCAACAAATATTTGCACTTTTCAACTTTAGCCATCGAATCAGCTACTTCGGTTTACGGCTGTTATGGTAATGTCGCTTTACGACGTAACATTTTCACTCTTCATTGAAAATCGGAAAAGAAATTATTCATGCAGCAAAATGTGTTCGGTATCTAGATGTTTACTCACTGCCAGTCTTGATTCAATTTATTAACGAACCCGATCTGATTCAAATGTGTTGCAAAGGCGTGGAACTCTCGCAGTAGGCGCCAGTTAGGTTAGATTAGGTCACGCAACTATATCAACTTAGCGGTAATGCAGGAAGTGTCGCACGGAAATGAAGGCGCGCCACATCATCGTGCGCTAAGTCGTGCGGATTGCTTGCGAGCCTCACGTTCTACCGAATGCGAGACATGTAACCTGCGATTTCTTATTGATGGTTCTAGCCTTTTTTGCGTTTAACTTTTGCAGGAGGCATATTTCTGATGAAAATTGGTTTCAAAATTAATTGCGTAACTTTCAGCCGAATCAGAGTTATTTTACCAAAATTTCTTGTGAAAGTTCTCTTAATAGTTTCCTCAAGGGAGGATACAAGTAAAACAAGGAAGCAAATTTTGAAAAGTCGAGAGCGAGACACACCGTAATATAACTGCAAAGTGAGATGTTTCTTGTAGACCTGAATTAAATATTTTTGTGAAGTGATCAGAATTTATTGTGTGTTTAGATAATGATCTGGAAGAACTTATTCAAGAGGTAATCAAAGCTAGCAATAGAGGTGTATCGGCTTCCAAAAATGCTACCGGAGGACCTAACTGGAGCCTCGGCCAGTCGCTATTTTTTTCCTGCACGCTCATCACTACAATCGGTAAGTTTCTCAAAGCTTTCCTCCAAAAAGGGGTAAAAAAAAACAAACTGATCAAATTTTGAAAACCTTTCCAACGTAAAGTCATCAAACGCCAGATCTCATGCAGTGGCATTCATAAACAAAGATTTTTGTATGAGAAATTTTAGCAACATCTTCGCTATTTCGATTTGGACCTTAGCACAAATGTACACGTGTTATGGTTTCGAATTCGAGCCGTCGACAGCATTCAGAAGAAGGAGGATACAATTGAATTAATGAGCAGAAGTGCGCTCCAGAACATTTCCAACCCCATCATCACAATTGTGGCGCCTTGAAGGACTCTTCGCCACGCTTCCCATCGATGTTTCATCAATCAATCATATCTTTCCTCCTATCGCTCTTGTCTGATACGTAAAGTAATTAAAATCAGTAAGGCGAGTGGTTAAAGCTACACGCCTGTATCCCTTCTGAAGTGGCGCCGACGTGCTGCTTGGTGCGTAACGGTTTTATCAAATTATGATTTCAATGATAAGATAAGAAAAATAAAGATTGACTGACTCAAACTTTCATCGTTAAAAAATCAAAACTAGAGCGGAAGGAAATATTAAAATTGTTATCGTCGAAAATCAATCACAGGTTTCTTTACGACGCGTGGCGATGCGGCAACACTTGAGAGGTATATGGGGTTGGTTCTGTGGTGTGGATAAAATGCCTGAGGGGCGCACAGGTTAGGCAGGCGTTTCACCTGCTGATGCGCTAAAAAGAAACCTTTTATTTCTCTCTCGTCGCACATGGGGTCAGTGCTAAATTATGGGTGGATAATGGATATTAGTTCATTCCACACTTAAAAATATAGTCACCGGCACAGGACCCGAGAGGCCATACCGTACTGGGAAGAAAAATATTGTAGCAGAATTAGGTACGGATTTTGCAAACTTACCGGTAAGATTGACAAAATATTATTTTTGACATATGGAGGGGAGGTGTAGAATATGATCACAATATTACAGAGCCAGGTGTTAAGTCGTTACCAGGTAGATCGTTTGTGCACGAAATTGAACCACTGAGCGTCGCTCACTCCACCCGATCCAGGTTGAGCATTGTTCAGCACTGTTTTCCTGCTCTCGACCAGAAGTGTCAGTTTTCAGGCTACTTCTCGAATTTTCGCTGATGACTAGCCCAAAAAATACATCCCTGCGTTTCTGTCAGAACGGCTTCCATGTATTTTTCAGTTGGGGTGTTTTCGTCGAATTCTCTGGGATAAATTATGACTCGTGACCTCCGTAAATGAAAAACGGGTCATTACGAACATATCGACGGCGTGAGTCCGCAATCACATATCTCATTTGTGGTATGTCTGAAAATCTCCACCTCTATATGATTTTTTTAAAGGAGAAAAAATTGATATCATTCCTTGAAGTTTCTGCAGAATATTCTTCGCACAGAGAAGAACAATCACGGCAGTTTTAAAGAATTGCCGTTGAGTAGTTTTCCGTTTAAAAAATGAAGTATGATAGGAAGTATGCGACGTCGCAAACCGAGTTATGTGAATGCCGACTTACACCGTCGATATTTGCATTGAAGTGATGTAATTAAAGATTGAGGTCGAAGAACCTCCTCCATAATTAACAATCTTACAGAAAGAAATTCACTCTTAACAGAATTTGTTCCGCAGACCTTCAACGGCAAATTCATGTAAATGCACGAGGTCTCGGCAACAAAATACCAAAAAAATGATTTTGACTCATAGGGCCAAGTTCTAAAATCCTCAAATTTAATACAGGATCGCAGCCTGCAGAGGTATGCCGCACAGTGGATCGAGTCAAGGGAAGAGGTCGGACAAAATGTGAAAAGTTAAAACGCTTATGAATCCGCTTATATAAAACTTCGGGGTTCTAAAACTAGTTTCATTGGTTTCCTTGTAAGATTTTCTTCTAGAGGTAACCCTTGAAATTAAAAATGTGACGAAGTAAACATCAAAATTTGCAGTTTTAGTCAAAAGGTTTATGTTCGACCGCTCTAATTGACTCGATCCACAGTGCCGGTGGAGACTGCACGATCCAAATACCCGAGTAGCAGTGATCGCGATGAATAGCGATTTTATCGGTGGCAATATATCGATATATTATCGCATTAAAATTTGCGATATATGACGATTAAATCACTACACATAGCAATTTTGAGCTCGATAAAATCGAGATTAAATCGCCATTTATTGCGATTTTTATTTCGAAAATATCGCGACAAATTGTCGGGCGATAAAAGCGCGATTTTACCGCGATAAGATCGAGGATATTTGCTCAGATGTTGATGATCCTGGCGATTTTATCGCCGATAAAATCGCAATATACGGCGATTTTTCCGTCGAGAAATGCTACTTGGGTAGAGGAAAACACTCCACGTGTTAGCTAGATCCTTGGCGAATGGAGACGCTTCAGCTGATGAAAAGCTTCATCTGCCTGAAATAACAGCTCATGTCGGTAATGAGGGTTGGCTCGCTCGTCTTTTGAAGAACGTCTTTTATAGCTTGTAATCAGCCTACGAGGAAGTTGGGGTTAAGAACCGGCACTTCCGTCCGTTCGCGTCACTCCACGCCACCCTCAATAGAACGCATTTGGGCTAAAAGCGCCTATGTGCAAATGAATTGAATCAAAAGAAACTGAATATACACAAGGTTTGTATGCTACATATTTCCTTTTGATTTAATTCATTTGCTTATAGTTTCTTTTAGCATGAACAGTTGAACACCCACCAATTCTGCCGTGCTAAGGAAAAACGATGCATAAACATTCGAGACTTGCCAAATTTTCCTGGATAAAACATGAATTTTTGAAGGAAGTTATGTGTATTTTTCATTAAAATTTGCCGATACAATAGATTTAATTGGGAACAAAATTATCTGAAAAATTGAAAGAAAATTATTCAGAATTTTTCCAGTAAATTCGTTGGTTATTGAAAGAAATATTGCAACGCCTGAGGGCTCATACCACGTTTTTCCTTAGCATGGCAGGATTGACAACACCCCCACAATATTGGGTTGAAATACGATTGACGGCGCGAAATTCTCGCTCTTAATTGAAACTCGAAAAAGAAATCAGTAATGCAACAAAATATGTTCGGTATCTAGATGTTTCTTCACTTCCTGTATTGATTCACTTCAATAAATTATCTCGATACGATTCAAATCTATCGCAAAGGCGTGGAGCTACTACTGATGACTCGAGTTAGGTCACGCAACTAAATCAACTTCGCGGGAGCGCGGGAGGTATCGCACGGAAATGAAGGCGCGCGGCGCGCCACTGCTAAGTCGCGCAGATTTCTTCTGCAGCTGCAATTATAACAGAGGGTTTCAAGTTTCTCTCTTTTTCTCTTTGGTACACAGTAGTGTACGAACAGCAAATCATTGGCTACAGTTGACTTTGCAAATCTCCATTCATTTTTAATTTCTTTAAAAGGAAACCAACAGACAGTTTTTCTTGGAAGTTATGCTTCTCTGAATTGTATGTATTCACAAAGGAATTTAGGGAGTACGGCAGATAAGTACCTCGGGGGAGGGGGCATTTAGGGTTGAAGCATTTTATGTTAGTGTCGTCACCGTGAGAGCTGTATTACTCAGCGATTTAAAAATTTCCTTCTCTGTACTTTATCCTCGGTCATCGTTCTGGATCTTTTTTCTTCTTTTATCTAAAAAAAAATTCTTAGTGTTGAAATGCGCTCTTTACTTAGTTCGAAATTTGAAGGAAAAGAGCAGAGGCTATTTGAAAATGATAGAAACTGCTGCTCTCAATGGTAACGGTGCGATCGCTCCACGGTNGCACAGGTGCAATCGATCCACAGGGCGTGGGCTCCACGCACCACTTTTTTTCTGTCTCTCTCTAATTTGGTGCGTGGGCTCCACGACCTGTGGATCCGATGCACCAGTTTTGGAAGGGGGTGAGTCCGTGGAGTCCATGCACCGTGGAGGAATCACACCGTAATCCTCTCAATTAGGAAATTACAGTGACTTTTTTCTGCTATAGTGATCGTGCGCGGACTTAATTCTGTAAAAATGATTGTTTGAAAGAAAAAAAGAGTAGAGATCTGTAGACACCGCAACAAATATTCGCACTCTTCAACTGTAGCCATAAGCTAGGTTCACGGCTGTTGTGGTAATGTTGGTTTGATCTAAGCTTTACGGAGTGGGTAACATTTTCACTCTTCATTGAAAATCGAAAGAGAAATGTAAATGTAAAAGTAATGCAGCAAAATGTGTTTGGTATCTAGATGTTAATTTGCTCACTGCCGGTCTTGATTCGATTCATTAATGATCCCGATCTAATTAAAATATGTCGCAAAGGCGTGTCTCACAGTAGGCTCCAGTTAGGTTAGATTAGGTTACGCAACTAAATCAACTTCACGGTAGTGCAGGAGGTGTCGCTCGGAAATGAAGGCGCGCGGCGCGCCACATTGAAATACGATTGACGGCGTGAAATCCCGCTCTTGATTGAAAATCGAAAAAGAAATCAATAATGCAACAGAATATGTTTGGTGTCTAGATGATTCTTCACTTGCTGTATTGATTCACTTTGATGAATGACCCCTTTACGATTCAAATCCATCGCAAAGGCGAGGAGCTACCACAGAATACTCGAGTTAGGTTACATTAGGTCACGCAACTAAATCAACTTTGCGGGAACGCTGGAGGTATCGCACGGAAATGAAGGCGCACGGCGCGCCACTGCTGAGTCGTGCGGATTTCTTCTGCAGCTGCAATTATAACGAATTAAGAGTTTCAAGTTTCTCTCCTTTTCTCACATAGTGCACTGTGTACGAACAGTAAATTGCTGGCTAAGTCTAGCGACGCGCAACTTCGATTTCGACGTTGCAAATTGCCATTCATGTTCAATTTTTTTAAAAAGGAAACAAACCGGCAGTTTTTCTCGGAATTTGCATCTCTGAATTAAGTGGATTCACACGGGATTTCAAGGAGCAGAGATGCGTCGCATTGCTATTTGAATAACACAGTGAAAAACCTACAGCAGTTACGTAGGTACCGAGGGGGAGGGAAAATTTTTGGTCGATGCATTTTATATGTATTAGTGTCGTCACAGCGAGAGCTCCATTGCTCTGCGATCTCCACCCGAAACTCCATCTCACTTCTCTATCCTCGGTTAGTCATTTTTTTAACTTTAAAAAAAAATCCGTGATTCCTAGTTTTAAATGCGCCACTTCTTTGTGTGGAAAATGAAGCAAAATTACAGGGGCTATTTGAAAATAAAAACTGTCATTGCAAATTTAAAAGCCACTGTAATTTTTACTGTCACAGTGATTGCGGGGCTTGGAGGACACGGCGTATAAGTGCGGTTGTTGAAAACATTGGGATATTCACGATTTCAAGTAAAACTAGTCTGAATCCATGTTCTGTGAAAAGTTTACTCCTAAATTCCAATTTTTAAGCTTCGGAAAGTCAGTTTGAACTCTCTTTCCGCCATGAGGATCCATGTAATTTCGAAACTTCAACCACGTATTTCTCGAAATAGTAAAACCAGCACTTATGCGCCTCGTTGTCCTCCAAGCCCCTCCATTGCGGGTACATCTCCACCATGGGCGTAGCTAGGGGGGTCCTGGGGGGGGGGGCTGCCCCCCCAGAAATCTCGTGCCCCCCTCCCCAGAAAAACGGGATCCTCCATTCCTCACCCCCCCCCTCGCTCTCTTCACCACGAGAGGTGGTCCCATGCCCCCCCCCCCCTCCAGAGAAATTTCCTAGCTACGCCCCTGATCTCCACCAGGAAGATACTTTGGTTCTTAAGGCACATTTTGCCTTGCTGCGACATATTTGTTTCTGGGCCCTGCCCATGAGTAGAGGATACCAATAACAAATTATTTTCAACAGGTTATGGGCACGTGACGCCACTCTCGAAGGAAGGCAAGCTGTTCAGCATGGCCTACGCGGTGGTAGGGATCCCGATGACGCTGATCATGCTCACGGCGGTGGTCGAGCGGCTCATGCTGCCGACGCGCTCGCTGCTCGAGTGGCTCCATCGGCGGCTGAGTCGCGTTTACCGTCCCTTGGGCGTCCGCCTCATCCACCTCGCTCTCCTCGTCGTCTTCCTCGTCACCGTCTTCATGCTCGTCCCGGCCGGCGTCTTCGCCTACATCGAGCCCGAGTGGGACTACCTCGACTCCCTCTACTACTGCTTCATCTCCCTCACCACCATCGGCCTCGGCGACTACATCCCCGGTGATTCCCCCAACCAGCCCTACCGACCCCTGTACAAGGTCGCCACAACATGTAAGTTCCTTCCGTTTTCCACTCGGGGATATCCGCGTCGCAGTCAGAGACAAGAGACCCTTCACTGGTATCTTGGCGACGCGACGCTCACAGTGGATCGAGTCAATAGTAGAGGTCGGACAAAATTTGGAAACTTTTAACGCATATAACTCCGTTCGTACAAACTGTAGGGTTCCGAAATTAGTTCCATTGGTTTTCTCGTGAAATTTTCTTTCAGCAACACGCCTTAGACTTAAAATATGACAAAATAAACATCGAAATTTGCAATTTTTTAAAAAAATGTCATGTCCGACCTCCTTGATTGACTCGATCTACTGCGCGACGGGTGGAAACTTTTACTTTCGGGATGCTACACTTCCTAATGGACAATTATAAGGGAGCAACAGTCATCATCCTTTTTTCGGCTGTCGGCCAAGGCACCTACTGTTTGAATGATGAGCTTTGGATGGCATAATGAACCAAAAAAGTTTAACAAACTTTGGTCTGTTTGCGAAACGAAATACCCAATTCGTTATTCAACATCCACCTGTTACGAACCTAAGTCAATTGTTGGAGAATTGCAGTTCTGAAAGTAAAAGCTCCCGACATTGCCAAGATAGAGATGGGGGGGGGGGAGGGGCGTCTCTTGTCTCTGGTCACGCTGATCACTTCTAGCGACCCAACGCTTCGGAATCTAGAGAGAATATAGGAGGTGATGGGTGTTTTAGTCTTGGCGGTCATCTTGGTAATTAATCAGCTTAGTTTTTGAGTACCTGACGCTCTACAGCATGATGAAACTTTCAAAGATTTGTTTTAAAGAATGTTCACAAATTCAGCAAACCCTGCGCTGCAGAACAAAGAAAATAGGGCTGATTTCGAACAATATGGTGCACATTTTAGTTGGAAATGTTCACTCATTCTCATTTTTAAACAATTACTTATTTCAAAATGTTGGTGTAGGTGGGAGAATGTATTTTTTTCATCTTGCAGCACACAAGGTTATTATTGATTTTGGTAAAATTTAAGAGGGATCTAAGGAAAGGCGGAGATTGCTGGTTTTGAATAACCTTCCTCTTGAATGTGTTGAAAAATTCCTTTCAGTTCCTCTATTACGGCTGAGGATTTCCACGAGGATACTTTAAGCTCATTTTTCTTATTTCTGTTTTTTACAGGTTACTTGCTTGTGGGACTCATGTTCATGGTACTGACACTGACTGTGTTTCACGATATTCCACAACTTAATTTAGGAACCTTTTTCGCTCTGCAGAAGGACACAAATACGAGAGATCTGGAGAAAGTGAGACTCCAAGATCCTGACGGCTCTGGGCCTAAATATACAGAGAAGAAGACATTACCGCAAGATTAAAATACCTAACTTGATGTTATTACTATCACATAGAAACGCACCAATTAAATGCTCAAAAAAACTCCAAAGCTTGAAAAATAGACCCATAAAATTCAGAATACAATAAATCAATTTTGATATGATATTTTTTTAAAATACTGACATTTATTTTTTTAATGGATAAACCTTAAGATCTCTGTAAGAATTTTCGTGATCATTCTTGACAGTAAGATTTAAGAAAAACGTTTGGGGGAAATTCGATTAACACAGTGGGTTTTTTGCATTGGATTTGATTTAGAAAAATAGAATGCATTGATCAGGATTTTACTGTATTGAAACTTAGTAAATTTGACAGTTTAAGTACTAATGTTAATTAAAGATCGACGGAGATGAGCTGAGAGGATTTAGGTTGATGTAGGAGAATGATTTAAAACAAAATATCCATTTCAAGGAATTTTCTAAGACTTCTATCTTTTAGCATGACATGTTCATGGTTTAAATCCACCTCCTGAATGCTCATTGACAAGGTGAGCCTGGGTGTACTTGTAAGTCAAGAATATTCATGTCTTGTTTAAAGATTATTAGGATTAAAAGATATAGCTGCAAAAATTTCAGCGATGACACGATAGTTATTGTGAAAACTACCTTTTGTAATTAAACTGTACAGTTGTTGTATTTCATATTGTTTTTAAAATAAACAGTTGTTGTAACGTTGTAAATAAATTCTTTTGAAACTGTTGGCACCTATTAATAAAAGTCCTTTCAAAGCTCGTATACAGTAGTCTGCGTTGGTAATAATGAAACAGGACTGAGCAAATAAAGTGTCGAAAATTTGCCTCGGTGCTCTACGACCCCTTTTTTCGAGGGCAGTCACATCACATTTGTGTCTGCATGATAGTCAGTAAAACCAGAATGCTAATAAGTCAGAAGGAGTAAATATTCATGACATGCTGGAGTAGGTGCTGTCTTTCTGAAAGTGAGATCTTAAAGGACCTTCTACAGCTGTAATTTAAAAACTATTTGGAGATTTAAATTTTTCACCGGGACCAAAAACAAAAACTTTTGAATAGAAATAAGATCAGTGATCATTACAATTATTTATTTTGCAATATTGATAAACTGGTTACAATAAAAATTAATAATATTCAGAAAAACGAACAAAAATTGTTTTCTTAGATCACAGACCTATAAAGATTAAATATTAACTAGGGATGAAAAATAACAATGTCACATACCACGGGGGAAAAGGATCTCATTCGAGACATTTCAGAATCTAAATGCAAAAAATAAAAATAAAAAACGCTAAAAAACAAAGACTCCATTCCTGACTTTAATTATTGCACCACCTTATCAAAAGAAAACAGACATGCTCAAAGAGTGAAATACACAGCCTAACAAAAGAAAAAGGTAAATGGACTCTTGTCAGCTTGATGACGAAGTTGAAAATTATAATCTGTGCTAAAAAGTGGTTTTCTTTGCTTGCATTGCCAGGAGCTTATGAAATTTGCTTTCTGTCTTTGACGCTTTTCCCAATCTACATTCATCTTACGAAGATCAGGAAATTGTGGGAACAGAGCAATCAAAACGGGAGATAAATTAGAAAAAAACCCGAACCGCAAAACAGGGAAAATCAACTCCATAAAAATACATTCCAAAGATTATCTTATTATTGGATAGACTTGAGTCCATTACCTGTGACAAAGGACCTTCACGGTAAAATAAAAACTTCTGAAACATGTTGGTAGTCCAAAGAGACTATTGTGCCAGGATAGCAATTTACGTAATGGTGGAAGTAAAAATCTCACTGTAAGATAAAAAACTGATGGTGTGATAATTTTTAGCTTTTGAATTGGAAATTCTTCTTAAAAAATAAATAAAATAACAAAACCAAAAAAAAGAAGGAAAAAAAAAAAAAAAAAAAAAAATATGAGAGATAAATTGCATTGGATGCGAGTTATAAGTCTTGCTATTTTCACTTTAATGTAGTATAAAATTTATAAGTTATGTAAGTTTCTTAAACTTAATCACAAAAAGGTAAAATTAGAAAGTATGTCTTGAAAATCCTATAGTTAATAATGGATTAAGTAATGGATTAAGTGCACCATAAAAAATTGGAGCACATACAACTATAAGGGAGGGAAAACCTTGGAAAAAAAAAGAAAGAAAAAAGAAAAACAGATCTGTTTACGGTGATTTTAGCACATTAATATGGACAAACAAACTCTAGGTAAAAATAAGGGGGCCTGAAGCTTTACAGAAGTTGGAAAGGAAAACATTTTGCACTGGCCTTAAGCCAAGAGAGATAATGTAAAAAACTAATTTTTTGCAAAGAGAGAGAGTGAGAGAAAGATAAATAAAACATTGGCACATACAATCAGCCACTTAGTATCAACAAACTCAGTTTTGAGAAAAATAACGACTCTATGCCCTGTCTCAAAAGAAAATTGGTTAGTGTAGTTGCTACGGTTCAAATTTGGAAACTTTACCTCAATCTGGATGAGAACCTTAAAACCTGGACCTTTTTCTCAGGCTGTTTTATATATGCAAGAAATATCTTATAATTTGGTTGAGGTATGGCAAAAATACAGCCATTAAGTAGAACTGAGAAATACTATCCTTGATAGTAAAACTCAACTTCTCTCTTTAAAGAGACTTGGAGAAATATTTAATGTAAGAAGACAGATTTGACAAAGGACTCTGATGATTCGTCTACACAAGTGAATTTGCCCTGACTTTTGCCAAGAGTGGTTCTGCAAGTTGATTTCAGTCGGTTAGGCAAACTACTTTTAGCTCTGTTGGAACTAATTTCGAGCGGTGAAAAAATAATTTAATCTTTGACAACACACTAAGTTCCAAAAGTTTTTAAATTAGTTTGATGAGTTCGCCCGTGTAGACAAAAATGGAAAAAATTGAATGGAGAAATGGATGCATATCATGCAACAAAAAGCTAATGCATGACTTCTACTCATCGCATGAAGGATAAGATCGACATGAAGAATCTCCTGATGAGCAACCATTCAAACAATTTTTACCCTGAGGCAGGTGTCACAGTGTGTGCGTTGTTTTTAACAGATCTTGGTCATGCTCAATGGCTGTACCAGTAAGTATTGTGTGGAAGAGAAAAACATCAGAAAACAATGAACGGATGAATTTCATGACTGACGAGTGTTAAAACAATTCATACAGAGCATTCATTAAATTTTTATTTCTTACTCTATACGGAGTTAAAATCATAAATATTTATGAGAGATTGGTTAAAGAAAATGAAATTACACATAATTTAAATGTCATATAAGTTGGCGTAACATTTTTCTCCTTCATCTATGCTCGAAAGACAATGATACATACTAACAAATCAATCAGCACAGCCAAATGAAACACCAATAAAATTTAAATGCTTGGAAAAATACTATGATAATAAACTGATCTTTTAAGTACAAATTAACATGGAACTATGTCATGGGTATTGGATGAAAAACCATAAATGGAAGAAATTGAAGGTTTCTACATGATTTTGATTGAGGACAAATATGCTTGTCTATTCATTAAAGGAGTATGTATATTGTAAAAATTGCTCTTAGAAAAGTATAATAGCACAGATATGGGTGTTAGACATAAAAGAGAAAATTTTTATAGAAGTCCCAAAGATTAAATTCGAATATACATATTAACAGTTTGATAAAGTTAAATGAACAGATAATCTGAAGTTCTTCAAATAAAAAATATAAATAAGTAAATAAATCATGAATAAGAAAAACTAAGCAAAAATACCTATTTTCAGACCTTTTAGCTGGTGCTATGCGCTTGAATGGAATTTCGATATGCACCTCCCTCACTTCACAGCATGTTAGGAGACTAAAATGTGGCATATTTTTTAAAGGCTTTTGATTGGACAGAATTGTAGACGTCCAACTATTTCCCAAAACCATTGGTGTAAAAGTTTTCAAGGGCATACGGAATTGTGGTATTTAGGTTTTTATTTTTTTTTACCTTTCCTTTATAAAAGGTACCTGATAAAATACTGGAAACTTTTGACTCAACATTCTGATGGCAATCTAAGAATTTTCTATTAAACATAAAGATGTAAAAGCCCTGCAATTCGCTAGGATTTCGTTGAAATGTACGGTTAGAATTTGTTTTTGGTTACCAGAATATTCATCTTTCTCCACTGAATTTCCATTAGATAGTCAGTTATCCCGGCATTTGTTTCACAAAATAATGACAAAAAGTTCAAAGAGATGTTGTGAGTAGAGTAAAAATTTATCCACAACAGTGATAAGTAAACTTCCTCCTCGAAAAAAGGACAAATTCATACAGATCTATTCCAAAAGAATAATTCCACAGCAATAAGATGGTCAGCAAACTTTCAATGAATTTCCAAAGGTAATACAAACTAAGATGGAAGAAGGAATAGTAATTAAATATTAATTTGATTATTTCGGAGCGTTTCTTGAAATTAGACTTGAATCATGAGTGTTAAAAACTTCAAAGAATACCTCCATTTTATTTTCTCTAGGTTCTTGGTTCTTTATTTTTCTGGGCAGTTTTTAGTTTGATTGAGGGAAAGATTTCATTGATCAGTCACTAGACTAAGAACAGAATCAAATATCACACCTCTAGACTAGACAATTTTGAGAAGTAGGTGGAAAGCTGTTGTTGAGTAGACTTAAACTTGCATCAATACACATAAAGGGTAGCTCACCGGCTTAACACAAATATGCTGACATCAATCTTCGAATGGCAAACTGGAAATTGTACATTGCACAGAATATAAATGGCACCAATTCTAAAGACTTAGCCTAACAGACACGTATTTTAAATACAAAATACATATTTCAATAGATTAAAATCATCAACAGAATGAACAAACGCAACTGCATGAAAAACGAACGAACAAATGATCGAACAGATCTTCAGGAGGTGAGAAATTCTCGCAAACTAAACTGTCACACAGCCAAGAATTTTTGGTACTTAAATTCAAAGGGAGTGGAAGTGAAATGCCAAGCAATTTTTAAGATAAATAATGAAGGTCTTACATGCAGCAAGACTTTTCAATTTTTCTACTTACTCTTGCTTAAAATTTTGCCAGAGACATGATGGGGCCACTAGTTTTCTTTAAAATTAACTTCCAAGCTCAAGAAAAGCTCTTCAAGTTGAGGCTATCAAAGAGGTGGTGGTTTGAACCGATTAGAGAGTCAACCTTTATATTGAATCAAACTCTCCATTTGGAGATGGAGCCGAATTCTTTAGCAAGGTTGTAGGAACTCACAAGTTTTAAGATGGTAATGCTAAGTCTACAGTAATTTCTTTGCCCTATTGCTGGACAGAGATTGATTTCCATTTAGGGGTGGACTCCATTTGAGGTGCAGGTTGCATCTGTCATTACCAGCTCAACTTTAAGGGCTTTTTTTGAGCTTCAGAGTTGATAAAAAATCAATAGCTCTATTGTGTTTCTTCCAAAATACACAAGGTGCAATGCTTAAACTGAGTAGCCTTGTTGCATGCGAAAAATGCATTACGGAGAGGTGAATTATGTTTGATTACCTCACTAAACAACTTAAATGGATCTTCTTAATGCATCTACACCATCTATTGTAGCTAAATCTTTTTACAGGAGGAGCAAGATAGGATGGTGAGCAAAGGAAACTGACAATAGAATGTTCAAAATTTCAGGGCATGAGGTCAAGAAAAACATTTTTCATTAAGAACACACTTCCATTGCTTTTTTATTTTAAAATATTTTTCCTTGCTTCCTCCACCTCCCCTTCTTTCTCCTTTGCTATTGTATTCTCTCCGAAAACAAGCACTTGTCTAACTCCCATTCAGAATAAAAAATAAAATAAAAACAGAATTTTTTTTTTTTCAAACTGAAAAAACAGTGAAAGAATAAGTTTCAAAATTACCATTGCTGTACAAGATACGACAACTTTTATGTTTTTAATCTCAAACATGTAAATTTGAGACATTAAAATTATATATACATCCAATGTGCGTATACTATAAAAACAATTAACTGAGCAATGATATAGGATTATTACCCACAATTTTTGCCAATAAAGGTCATCAGCTTAGAGAGTTGCTAATTATTAGCACTGTTTGTGATGCAAATTTAGTTTCCAGATCCTAAATATATACAGGCGGAAAATTCAGGCACTTTTGCAAGTAAATATATTACTAACATATGAACATATGACAAAACAAAATCTGATTGAAAAAAAAATAATACAGGAGAAAAAATGGATTCACCAAAGGTATCAAATTCGGACGAAACTGGAAATGAGGTTATGTAAAATGTAATACTGACGTTTCCTATTTAAAGTTCCAAAATTTTCATGAAATCGGTGGAATAAAAAAATTAAAAAAGAACAATTTCAGACTCATTTATAGGCAGCCTCTAATCAGATACGTTGCACATCTAGCTTGTTAGTGAATTTTACAACGTTATTAAGAGGAATGTCAAGAGAAAACTTCGATTAGCTATTCGAGTTACATACATAATATATGAATACTTATGTAGCTTCTTGGGGAGGCTAAGACTTCGAAATCTCTTTGCATTATTCAAGTTTTTCCATTTCTCTTCAAATTTTCATGTCTGGTCAACTTGGAATTCACTGGAGGAATATAAGTAAAAAATTCTGTGGGGACTGTTTAGAATTGAATTAAGACAAGTTAATTTTAGACACTTCTGACAAGAATATCATCACAAATTGCACAAGCTAAGAGTCGTTGATAACAAGTAAATTAAAAACAAACTTAGCACTCCCCTTATATTTTAATTTTCTTTATGCTATGTAGAATAAAAATTGTCAGCAAGTAATTAAAGCCTTAATGGCAAGCCTGGAAAGAGGCTTAACTTTAAAAGATTATTTGTGGATGAACCTGCCAACATGAATGTCTTGATTTGAGATTACCGCCTTAAAATGAGCTGAAAAACATACAGCTTAAAAACTAACATTAAGATCATTGAGCATTATTTTAACAATAGTATTCTACAATACACTTTTAGGACCAGATCTTGAAAAAAAAAAATAAAATAAAAAGGAAAAAAGATGAGAAAATTAATGTAACAAACAAATGTAAAATTGGATGCACGATCAAATAAGTGAGTAATCAATTAACAATAAAAAAGAAAACATTCAACATAGATAATGCACCGTAAAAAGTAGTACAAGATTCTTTAGGTGTCGCGGTCAATTAAACTCAACTTATTTCATAGAATTTTAACAGAAAGAATAGTCAAGTTTGCTTGACAAAAATTCAGATAATGGTACATACCAGTAAATGACAAAAAGACAGGGAAAATTTGAGCAAAACAGCACAAAAAGGACTCGCATTAGGTAAAATTTTATGAAACTAAATTTCAAAACGATTGGAAATTCAGAGAGAGGGTGTGACAGGATACCAGGCTATAAATATAATGAACTACAAAATGACGGTGCATTGATACAATAGTATTTTATTAACAAGTGAAGTTCTAAAAAAAACTATTTTTTTAAAAAAATTGTATACCTTTGCATTTCTTGGCTCTAATTAAAAATTCCTTGGCTCTCTCTGATTAAAACGGAAAATCAGACTCTGCTGTGACACAAAAATATAATCAAGCACTCACGAATTACTCATTGGATTATTAAAGCGTGTTTCTTGTAACATACCTAATTTTTTACACAGACTAGCCTTATAAAAATCCCTGTCATGAGGAAGTTTGCCTCCATGAACTAGGATTTGTTTTTCCTTGGATGGTCACACACAAGGGGTGTCTCTACGTTAGTTTACAACTTGGATGGATGTAACAATTGATTTTCAGTTTCATCAAGTTCTACAAAACGAAAGTCCTCGTGCAAATATTTTTGGGTTTTTCAGAAAATATTCAGATCCTAAAAGTTTTAAAAGCATTTACTCTCATAAGGTTTTGAGAGATCTGCTGAATGCTTGCTTCTCAAGACAAAGGTTGTGATAATTTCCTTGGAAGGGAATTCCCTGCTTACCTGTAAAAACTTACGGGTGAACAGAATTCGAATCAAGAACAGGCCCGACGACTTAAAAATTAACAAGTTTTAAACTAATTAAAACTGATCACAGACTTCTGAGACCTTTCAGAAACAATCATTGGCATTCAAAGTTACATCGTTTCAGGTTCCTCAATTTCGACTAGAAAGAGGAAGAAATTCTTGAAAAAAAAAAAATGTTGAAACATTTTTGATATGTAGGCTCAACTGGCTTAAGTGAATACTGTAATCCCTTGGCTCAAAGCTTAGGATGAGATTCATGATAAACTAAAGAAAGGACACTTACCTAAAGCACGCCTGGGAGCAGACGTGCAAGAAAGTTCCATCAGCTGGTCGCAGTCAACTCTGCTAAAATCCACATAAAAAGCTTCGAGTGGCGAATAGCAACAGGACGATATTTGAGTGAGCTCAGTCCATCTGTTGTAACTCTCCTTTCGCTTAGGTACAGTTTTTCATACCTGAAAAAGGCGGATTTAAAAAATGTAGCCGTTTAATTGCTCTGATGCTAAATATAGGGTAGATGAAGGAAAAGGACCCTGCAGACTGCTTACAGGAATTGGTGCCTACATAGATGTAAAATTTGCCTACTTGAGCTGAGTTTCTACAAGCCACTGTTTTTGTCCACTTTGCAGTTGGATTGCATTTTGCAAAAAGGAACCAGAAGCATTGCAATGATGCTAAGATTGTGCAAATTCATCTTTTGCAGTAAAATAACTGAAATCATGAATAAATACGAAATTTATATGGTAATTTTTGTCTTAGATTCACAATTTTCAGCGAGTAAAATAGAAACTGTCAATGGATAATCAGGTTTTTCTTCCAAGACAAAAGAAGTTGCACAATCTCAGCAACATTGCAATGCTCGTGGTTCCTTTTTGCAAAATGCAATCCAGTTGAAGTTTCCATAATTTGCCTGCTGAATGAAGCCAGTGCTGCTGTATAAATCAAAGATATCCCTCTTCCTCTCAGTACTTGAGACCCCATAGACCTTCACCCACCCTGCCAATTTTTTCAAGGTGAAACAAGGAGGCAGAAAGAGAGTTTAGCATTGACAGCTACCTGTCAGTGGCAGGCAAGACATCTCGTTACCTGTTCACTGCGTGATGGCAGTTTTACAATCAAATCTGCTCAGCGAATGGAGAATTTGCAGGAGTCACAATTTAGATAAATTTAGTATTGATGTGGAGACTTGTGAGTGAGCTGAACAACAGGATATTCTCGGTTCATAAATTAAACAATTCCTGGAAGAGTTATGACAAAATGATCCAATCTGCTAAAGTACATGTCTTTAAATTGGATATGCCATCAGATGATGTCACTAGGTAGAGCACTTTTAAATCTATTTTCATATTATTTCCCCTTTCAGAAAAAAATCATGAAAAGTACTGCAAAATCAGCTCTTTAATCACTCTCAGACAAAGCAAGAAGAAAATCGAGTGGAAACTTTCCATTAGGGTGGTCTCACGATTATTTTCTCTGAAAAGATTCAACACAGCTCATATTACAGACGTTCTAAAATATTTGCAGCATAAAGTCCACCTATCTTCGTCTGTGTGGATACAGCTACAGAGTCAGCTTGGTCAAATCAGATAAACATATTTGTCACAGTTCATTGAAGTACAACCGCAAAACAGGAAAGTTTATGCCCATCAGGACTGAGATTTACAAACAAAGAACGTAGCGTATAATTGAGGTGATTGCTACGTTTCAATGAAGTATTCAGTTTTACTAAGTGTTGCCAGACCTAGTGTCAGTAAATTTCTGAATTTATCATTGCAAAAATCCAGAAAATCTGAAAAATTGTTTAATAATTCAGTTCTGGTGGATCTCTTGTCACAGCTATGAGGATGAGGGGTCGCTTCCATAAGCATCTCATAAAATGGAAGATTCTTTAGTTGAAATGTTTTTGTAGGGGTTTGATGAAAAGTCAGTTGACTTATCTGAAATTACCACAGGTATATACTCAAAACACTTTACGGCGAGGGAGACTCCAGAACTGAGTTTGTTAAAGGGTAATCATCTAGAAGAGTTTCTTGGAAATATGACATACCTTTTTGGGTTTGCTTTTTGTTTGCGGTGTTTGAGCATGGTATATCGTGCTATGTTATGTGGGTATCGAGAGATATGAAATCCATGGGTTCGAATTCGTTTTGCCATATCATCGTCCTCACCACCCCAACCCCAAAATAGGTTGCTGAAACCATTCAATTTCAAGAACTGCTCTTTTGTCAGGGCACTTACACCACCGAAAATATCTCGATACGGCAATCTAGAGTGTAGGAATTGAAAAAGAAATTAGCCTTTGATCAGAGTAATTAAGTAGTAATCACAGTAATCTGGTGAAATAACTGACATTTGACTGGTGATGCTTTGCAGTTAATTGACTAGCAAAACGAGTTAAAATTGTATGTCTGTTCCGCTCTGTGGGCGAGTCATTCCAGCTTTTTTATTTTTAACACACTCAACAGCCATTTAAGTTTGCACTTCATCAGATCATGAGACAGATCCCCACCAAACTATCATCTTTTAAAGACATTCGAGCAAGCATTTTGACAAGTGTAATTTTTCAGCTTTGGAAATGTGAATAATTTGTATTTTAGGTTGGTTCATGATATTTTCTTTCATAAAATTACAGATGCGATGACTGAAGTACAATTATTTTTCTAGTTTTTTTGCCCTGACCAGCCTTTCATTACTTCTTTGCAATGAACTAATTCTCTTAAACTTTGCTTCAGCATTGTAAAGATTCTATCAAGGGACAGTCATGTTGAGAATTGAATAATGGAGGTTTAAAAAAATAATTTGTACCTGTAGTTCATGACATCTATGGCCACAGACATATGTCGCGGCTGTTCAGGACAGGTGTATAGATTACGCTCATCTTCTGGTAATAGGTCTACGTCATGGAATATAAAACAATCAAAACTACTATCTAACTTTAGAGCTTCAACTGAGCCGACATTTAACAGCATTGCCCGGTTGAACGGATCTGAGCCTGCAAAAAAATTTATGAAAAACAAATTGTGAATCTAATTCAAAGAGACCAAGAGAGTTCATCATACATTAAGATTTTAGGGATAGGCCGATGTTACAATTATGCTGGATTCACACAGTGGACCACTAGACAAGGTGTAAATTTAAAAATTATGGTGTATGTTCCCTCATCAAAATTTCAGGTAGAAATCCATTGGTGCAATGAAAATTATGAACTCAAAAATAAGATAGATATAACAAGAGGTTCAAAATAAAATTATTATAAACCTTTTTAGGTTTTCTGTTAATCTAAAAACGTTCAATTGAACATTTGGGTGAATGAAGGGGGCCTTCACTCCTAATAGGGATGTGTACCACGATGGGTTAGTTGCGCTGGTCATCGAATCATGTTTTGATGCTTGATGATTAGCAAAAATCATGCGATCCATCCCAACAGCAACTTCCTACTTTCAATATTAACAGAGATATCGCGATTTGAAAAGTCGTGTTTTTGACGTCATCTACCGCGGTAGTGACACCCTTTGTTTCTTCCTCTTTTGTTTGCTCAGTGATGCAGAAGGCGCAACGTGAAACTTCAGCATTCAGATCATTTTTGAAAAACATACGACTTGCAGCTCACTTTCAGTACTCACGAAATACATTATTTTCAAATTATACATACTTATTTATTTATTCATTTATTTATTTATTTATTTACAGTTCCAACGGGTCATAAAGACCCATTTACTAAACATTATAATAGAACAAAGACACAACAAGTGACTTAAGACAGACATATTAATATTTACCTGCTTGTTCTATGATAAAAATTGTGTATGCGATCAACTGCTTCTGTAAGAAGGGATGAATATGATGAATGAAACTGACTAGGTGGTCTTGTCGATTCCGGTATGGTACTATGATGGCTACATTATACCTAGGAATACAGTCTTGAGGCTTGAAACGACCACCAGGCATTAGTGGCATGTCTTTGTAAAGTTCTTCAAGCTTATCAAGAGGCTCAGTGTAGATTTCTACTGTATTCGGTCCAGCTGCAAATTTTTAAAATAATTTGTTCACATAATTGAGAACACATGCATAGCACCTGAGACAACGCTACCTACTTAGGTATTAGAATATTGTTTCTCATATCATTTTTAGCACAGCACTTGTTTTTCTTTTTCACCCTCTTTTATCCTGAAATAGCTGAGTTTTCCTAAAAAAGTTGTTTTATCTGGGTGCCAAAAAAGCGTGTCTTTTAGGAAAATTCGATTTTCCTGAAACTTGAGAGGTGACAGAGACTGTAATAGGTTATTTTTAGCTTCAGCAGTGAAGATTAAAAGAGATTTTCATAAAATAATGGGTGATGGAGAGGGATCAAGGGCATTTCCAGACTTAGAACTGAAAATTATCCAAGAAAATCAAATGCCCAGTACATTAGATCATTTTTTTTTTCAGACTTTTGGAGAGAAAAATGAAACCTGAATTTAGGAATAACTGAGTTCGATACCAAAGTTTGCTATAAAATAAAACAAATTTCTCCGTAAAGAATCAGTCGAAGCTGTTACTGCGTCCTTGTTGTAAAGTAAATAAACACTCAGGTAGAATGAATAGATTACACAGTGAATATTAAAAAAATCATCAATTTTCATTCTGAAACAACTGCATTTCTAATTTCAGATTCCTTTATTTCTTTAAAATGTTTTTTTTTAGCTAATTACATGACAAATGCAAGGAAGATTACAAGCATAATCACTTACTTAAATTAGGAGGAATAACAGCACACAGATTGAGTGAATGTTTAGAGTTTCTTGAGGCATTCATCTGCACAAACAAAACATACGTTTGAGAGTCAACAAAACACTCACACCTTCAATTTATTTTTCAAATAGCAAAAATATGATGGATATTGTTTTCCTTGTTTCCTGTTTTTTACTGATTTGATGTGAGAGAATTGATTTTAAAAAAAATTTTGATTTGGCATTGCCCATATTATTCTCCTTGTGAAAAGATGGGTAAAATCAAGTAGGATTCAGAGTTGCTACTTTTGCAAACAAGGGAAATATAATGAACCTTCGTAGACAATCAAGCCTTGGTCTCATCATGAATAAACTGATCGAATTTTTAAGGTAAGAACTGACATTATAGGAGAGGTATTTCCATTTTGTGTAAGTATTTCCCACATTCAATGTTGAATCCTTTCATTTAAGTAAGTATGTGGTCAAACTGATGATAATAAAAGCCCCACTCTCCTCCCACAACATCTTACATTTAGAAAGCTCTGCTATTAAAAAATGTTCAGGTTGCAGTGAGCTTAACCGGTGCATACTTTTGACCGGAAAAAGAAAAGGACAGTAAAAAAAATGGCATAGTCATGGATACCTTAAGATATTGGAATTTAGAAGCATTTGGAGAGAGCAAATATGGAGAACTGGAGTTCACAGCGAAAAGTGGCTCAAATGATGGGTTCTTGTATGTCATGAGGCTGTAGGAATATTGAAATCCGATAAAAGAGCAGGCAAGAAAAATTATGACAAAATATCTTCGGCGAGACCGTGCAGGATCTGGGCTCATACTTTCATTTTTGAAATCGGTGTAAGACTTGTGGCCTGGAAAAAAAAAAACGTGCTTAGAGAAAACGTCATAATGTGGTAAAGTCACGTCGATGGAAAACTTTAGATAGTGACACAAAAATAAGAGCACCATAGGGTTTTATGTAAGGGCATAAAATCTTACTGCACACCTCACTCTGGAAAACAATTCAAAGGAAAAGGCTAGCAAGTACAATAGTTTCATGAATGACTTTAAATTGGAGAATTTTTTGGGAATTTTTCAAAGTAAGTAATGTTTTTTTTCTGACTCCTTCACTTGATGATATCATAGAAAATCAGCCATAGCAATAATCATAGATATCATAGCCTGAGTCCCACAACTTGTGAAGGTAGATAGCAGTCTGGATTAAAAACAAACAGCCCAAAATAAAAAACGTACCCGGAAACAGAGTCTATGACAGCTCAGTATTCAAAGATGGAGCTTTCCATTGATGGAAAAAAATGTTGGTTAGGAACTAATGAGGAAACTAGACTGACTGCGGGTGACTAAAGTCATTTTTAGGCTTGACTGACAGAAGTTGACAGTTCTAAGTTTGGCAAAAGCAAATAGTCACTTTGCAGCTGTATCAACAAGTTGATGACACTATTATTTGCTGAGATGCAACAAAATTAGATGCTTGCCATTCCATCAGAATTGAATCAATAGGTTGGGTTCAACAACATTTAAACTTACCAGAATTCAATTTTCTTTCACGATATGTTTTTATAAAGGCAATCAAGCTATGACTGATTCTTGGATATCATCGTGAAGACTTCAGTTATTTAAGAAAATCAACTGAGAGTTCAGGATTTGGAAAGAAAAGGCTATTTTGCTTTGGACAAGAATAGAAAAAACAGAAAATTTTTCAACATTGTGATGCTGACATTTTGGCATTCAAACCAGAGATGCAAAAACTTCCATTTAGTCGAACCTCGCAAGTGTTCATGGATATGTTTCTTGCTAACTACACAAAAAATTCCCTCACTTTTCTAAATTTTACAAAGTGATGGCAACTTTATTTTTTTTTTACGTTTGAAAATTACATTATGCATGCTTATTTTGCATAGAGTACATAGAGTAGTAATGTAAATGGGAGAGCTGGCGCCATGTTCTGCGCGACGAGTTCTGAGCCTGGTGTGCGCTGAGCTGGCGTCACTTTTTCGATACACTTTAGATCCAAAATGGCGGTGTGGAATACATGGTAGTTCCTATCTTCTTTGTTTATATCGGATGGCTGGGTACCGCAAAGAATCAATCATGCATCAAAAAAGTGACCGGGCGTCACACAGGAGTCTTGGATTTCGGGACCTGGAAAATGCTTAAAAGTGGCGCAAGCTCTCCCACTTACATTACGATTCTATGCTATTTTGCCACTTATACCTGGAATCTATGAAATACAAGCTTACAAACTTTTAGACTGCGACAGAAGATCTGCCATATTGATTCTTGCATTTACTTTCAATGCTATTAAACTAACGTCAGTGATCTTCTCTCGCAGTCTAAAAGTGCGTAGACGTATTCAGCATTGACTCTGGAATTGACTTGGTCAAAGAAGAAAAGAATTCTTAAAAGCTCATGGTTTTAGGAGAAAGTTAAAATTTCTGGCCAGTTCTTAAATTTGAAAGGAGTGATGAAAATTAAATTTGTTGGATTAAAAGAGTTCAGATGTATTATCGATGTCAGCATACCTATGATGAGACTTTCAATCTGATCTGTTAAAAAAGCTGACACTTAATGCAAGGCAGTTGCTAAAATAATTACAGTCTTTAACACATGCCACACCTGATCATAACACATACTTCCCTTATTAGAGCTGCAATAGTAGGAGCTTAGGAGTATTAACTGAGATACGAGATATGACCATATGCCAAAATGGCACAGACCAACTGGCGTAACTGGACTAGATCTTTACTTGATGAAACTGTATGTTTTGGCAAAGTAGTAGAATCTAGCAAGGATTTTGATTTGACAACAATCCTAAGCTGATACCTGCCTAATGAGATTAATGCGATAAGACAAAATGGATTGTCAGTCTCAAATTATCGCAATTTCTCACATACTTGAAAGTTGAGAGTGAGGTGTCCTGAATAAAATAGGGTTTGAAGAATGCAATTCATACCTGCCAGACCAAAGTCTCTGAGAGGTTCAACACTTCAGGCAAATCATAAGAGCTCAGCGAAGAATCCCTCGTCATGCCATCGAAGACTTCACTTGGTTAGGAAGAGAGTAGATAACCATCCACAGAAGCTTCGGGTGAATTAATTTGGGAAAGCAAGATTTCAACCACACTCAAACTACAAATTGCATCATAGCAAAATAGGAGATTGCCATGAAAACTAGTTTTGGTACATACGCAACTAACATAGGGCGTGAGGGAGTGTTATCACAGTTTGGCTACAGAGAATGATTGATCGTTGAAAACACAGAGGAACTAAAAACTAAAAGTAGTACGGAAACCGGATGATATAATGAACTAAAATGAGTACTTAATTTGTTCGATTCAGATCTAGGAGTGAGTATTTGGTTCGGGTCAGTAAAGATAAAAAGAACCTGGTCAGCAGTTTCTAAATTCTTCGGCCCGAGAGAGTGATAAGAGATTTCGAAGTCAACGGTTTTTTGGGCGGATCATCGAACGTCGGAAGGTGCTGATTCGTGAGTCAACAAATCGGAAAGAAAGCGCGCCATTTTAATTTTGAGCGGGAATTTTTAATTTAGCGCAACTGTTCCGAGGGAGCGTAAAAGTAGAAGGGATAAATGCAGGAAAAATTAGAAAATTATTCGAGTGAGCGCAAAGTAAACCTATGAATTATAAAGAAAACGCACGAAACCTGAACTGCTTATGAGTGCTAATAATTTTTAAAAATCACCACCTGTTTTCCTACATTAAATAATTTATTTTTTTTATCACATAAGAAGTCTTAAAAAATGTTGTAATGTTTAGAGAGGATTTTTAGAGTAGACTCGAAAACATCTGACCCATCAACTTTTTACAGTGGTATCATTAAATTATGTCAATGACCGAAGTGCGAAACCACGTATTTCCATTTGTGACATATTGCAGACTTCCTGGCATCCTTTCTTGTTTCTTTGAAAAACTAGTCAGCGTAATTTCTTGAAAACTTCCCTGATTTTTATTCTATGTACACAGAATATTTTTCATGGATTTTAAGCTATGCAGTTAGCTTATTTCACTTCAAAACATTAAATAGGAGCGGAAATTTTGAAACTCTGAGTTGGAATTACGTGGTTTCCCATTGAGGCCATCAATGTATATCTCTCTCCTTAACTCAGCATTAACAGAGCTTCAACGCTCACATGCCCAAATCGGGTCAAATTGACCTGAGGCTTACTAAAAACATACGCGGTTCTACGGGGGTGCCAGTGGGTGCCAGGCACCCCCAAGAAAAAATTTAGCACGGATATCGGAACCGTGAAATTACTGCTTTTAAAGATTCTGTATTCGCTCACACTGAAAAAAAATCCCAGCAATTAATTGAAAATGTTTTGAAGAGAATTAAAATTGATAGCCGTAGTTTACAAAGATTACACTGTTTTTTTTTATGGTAATATTGTTGTTTTAATGGAAAGTTTTGCTAAACATTTTCTAAATTGAATTTACAGGGATTTAAGTGGAGAGGAAGGAGAGAAAAAGAGAAGGGAGGGTAGGGAAAGGATAAAACTTGAGAGCCGAAATTTAGGCCTCCCCTAAGCGACCGTCCCCTTTGGAGCCGGTCTTCGACGTTTTCCACCTCTGGGCATCCCCAAGAATGGAGGTCTAGAACCGCCTATGATATTAAGCTTCCATCGCCTTGCTAAGGGGCAGGAATACAACTATTTGAACTCTTCGGAACGCGTGCGGTATCACGCCTCAGTTGAAGGCGTTTTCGAATCTTCTGTGTTACATAGCTTTCGATTGAAAATGGTTTAAACAGAATTAAAATTGATAGCCGTGTTTTACAATGATTCCACTGTTTTTTATATATGTTTTTTTTCTGTATGAAGATTGTTGTTTGGATGGAAAGTTTTGATAAAAATTTTCTAAATTGAATTTACGTACAGGTATTTAAGTGGAGAGGAAGGAGAGAAAAAGTGAGAGGAGGGTAGGGAAGGGATAAAACTTGAGGGCCGAATTTTAGGCCTCCCCTGAACGACCGTCTCCTTTGGAGCCGGTTTCCGACATTTTCCACCTCTGGGCACACCCTAGAATGATGGTCTAGAATCGCCTACGACTAAAAACACATGCTCCGCAGGTTGAATGGGGCCGGTACATACAAACTTTGGATAAAGGTTCACCAATGCATCCTAGAACAAGAATCTAAGGTCGAATGGNGGGGGGGGGGGGGGGGGGTGTCGAGTGTCAACACAGCGGAAGATAGGTACGCGGTACGGTGTGTTCGGGCCTCATTTTTCAACTTTTCTCTTGAATCTGAGCGATACTGCATCAGCAACATTGAGTGGAGCATTGCGAGTTCACACCTCTTGCCTTCGATTTTGGTGATGCAACACGGACATCCATGAAGGATGAATAGTTATATCTCTGCGCTGCAATCAATGCAAGTCCTTCCCTTTGCTCTATTTCCGTATAGTGTTTGTTTCTGTTGGCTTATTTGTAGTATGATGGATTTTCGATTCTTATCAAGCCAACATAAATTTGAACCATCAGCCTAATGGTACTCAACATAACATTTGTAATACATCGATGGTGAAACTGCAGGAATGTGTATCTCAGTTTGCAGTGTTGCAGATTTCCTGACATACTTTATTTTCTACATGGAAAACTAAAGAACGTCATTTCTTAAAAATTTCAGTAATTACTCTTCTTTTTCTAAAGCGTATTTTGTAAAAACTTCAAACTAAGATTTCGATTCGGTCTTCTTTTCAGAAAATAAAATAGGAGCAGGGATTTCGATACACCGCAACCGAGATACGCATTTTTGCAGTTTCACTGTTGATATATGAGAAGAGTGCCAAAAATGTCAACTTTTTAATCTTCATTTTACTATACTCACCCAAGTCTCTATATTGTATACATGGGTAAAATAAATCTAATTGTTATGACTTATGAGGGTATGTAAAAGTTGTGCTGTGGAGAAAAAATGTCTCAATTGAAAAGTAAAAGGACCATGGGGTATTTTTTAAAGAAATAATAATACATTGAATAAATAAAGCATTTATTTAAGGAAAAATGACTTTTAATCTTTCTCAAAGAAACATTTTGTGCCCAGTCTGAAATATGAGAGAAGGGCTTGATAATCATTATACTTTGGAGTGCACATAAAATTCTTCTTAAAAAATTAGTCTGATAAAAAAGTGTGATTTTCATTTTTTCGCAATGATAAAAAGCATCTTTACGAAAGCTATATAAAAAGAAGAAATTGGGTATAGATAAACACTGAGAAAAACACGCATTCAAAAGAGCTTAAATATCGATGGCCACAGTCGAAAATGCACATCTTCATGCAATGTTCAAAAATTTCTAAATTAATTTTTTTTTTTCCTTTAATTTTTTTTTTCTTCAAAGAGAACCAACGAAAATATCTCCTTAACTCTTTACCTAAATAGTAAATATCAAAATATTTTTGAATGAGTGAATGAAGTTCATAGAGAATGTAGAGAGAAACAGAAATAGAACAAAATAGAAATGGAGAGACAAGTGGCTGCACCTGCTAGTAATTAGTCCTTATGCTCATATATTTCAAAGCCAACGGCTGGTCTTGCTGAAAAGCATAGGGAGCAGTGAGGAGATAGTAGTACTTGAAAATATAAAACATGAACAGAGACTTGCTGTGTCCCAATTATAGAAGATACGCATTTTTTTATTTTAGATATGGATATGCAATATAATTTTTAGGCCTACTATTTTAATCAGTCTATATCCACTTCTATGTTTTAATAAAGAACTTATTTTTCCCAAATAGCTCTAATATTTCATTTCACCAAAGAAAGAAAGAAAAAAAAGAAGAAATAAATCCTGGTGTGCCATACAATTAAAACAGTCCAAAGTGGCCGAATTTTTCATTTTGGGCTTGCAAATTCTGAGTCAAATTAAAGTTCACATGGAAAAGTTGCATTTTTAAAATGAAAATTTTACACAGCAAAATTTCTGATCGAGGCTTACTTTTGACACCTGTTGAAAGAGAGATTTTATAATATTATGCATTCATTTCACTACTTTAGAGAGGCAACTACAGATTCTTGGAGAGAACTTTCACTCAAAAGAGAAAGCAGGGGAAGAACTTAACGAGATCGAAAAAACCTCTGAAGAAAAGAATGCTACATCCAGTCCATTGTTGCATTTTCATTAATTAAGGTGGCAACTTCAGGATCATTGACTAAACATTCATAGCTCTCCGCAGCAGAGAAATATACATACTGGTTTTCATTCAGATTCTAAAAGAAAGACAACAAAAAATCATGGAGAGATAAAAATCATAATAAGTAAGTACTGCAATGCACCCTATTCTGTAAGATATATGTAGGTGATGAATGAACCAACGTTTTGTATACGTATCTTTACCGAGGCTTTTTGGCTTGCGCCATCATTAGAGAAAAATTTCCACATGAACAAATTCACAAGTCAAATTAAAATAGGGATCATATGATGCTGTTAATATTAAATACATGAAAATAAAAAACATTACAAGATACAAAAACACATTATTGAGATGTTTTTTATAATCATATAAATACAAAGGCTGTCTCAAAAGTACTGGAACGGTTCGTTTTTTGAGCCAACAAAAAGAGGTAGCGTAATTCGGTTTGCGCAGATCGTTAAATCAAATAATTAGTTAAACAATGAGACCTTGCCGAACTTAATTGGTGAAGAATTCACCAAGTTATAGAGTTTTTCCCAAGACGTTTTGGGCGACCATATAAGCCGAAAATCTTCAGTAAAGATATTCATACAATACCACAGTTCATTCATTACCTGATATTACAATGGTGTTGTTCAACTTAGGTATTTGCAGAGGCCATAATCTATCCAGCCCTAGAACTATTTCGACGAATCAGAATTATGTGCACTTTGAGGGGACCTGAAGTTTAGCTCTCCTGAGGGCTGCAGGGCAAACAAGATATAGATGGCTGAAAAATCCAAGAAAGTTGCATGACAATGGCCTATAGCATCATCAGGTTGCCAGATGGTATTTGTGAGCAAGAGAGTATATGAAAAGTGGTATCAGTACATTTCAGTAAGAATAAATTGTTAAAACAAATTACCTGTGGTTGCCATACATCCTGTAATTAAACTACAATAACTAAGCAAATTTCTGTTTGAAGAAGCTGATTTTAGTCTTAGTCCATGTCTTTTAACATCTTCACTCAAATTGCACTAAGCTTAATTCGTTGCTTAGTGTTTAGTTGGAGTGCTAGTTCTAGTTATTTTGGCACACTCCATGTGGTACCGCGCATTAGTTAATGATCATTACCTCTCATTAATTGATTGAAACCAGTAATTAAACGATTATCAACTGTCTTTAAGTAACTATTATTAATGTATTTTGAGCAATTATTAATATGACAAACCTGGAGAAGTTCCATACACACTCCGGATGAAGAGCTTCGCTGTTTGACTATTATTACATCACCCTTGAATTTTTGAGACCTCATTTTGTAGCACTGAGCAGCCATCAGTTTAGTTTGAATGGATACTAAACTACACTTAATCCTTTCTTTATCTTTATTTGAGAACCCATTAGTAGAGGTAGCAAGTGCTCGTTTGGCTAAGGTATTGAGATCCATCTGCAAATTTCACAAATGAGAATAAGAATAGGTAAATAATGTACTTGATGACGGCTGCAGTATATGTCTAACTGCCAAAGGCACAGATTCATAGATCGGTTCTATTAACTTTTTGATAAATACTATAGGTATTATTTCCCTATAAAACTTTGACCTTTCGTCAACCCCCTACACTTGTCATGAGCTGCATTTCATCTCACAACTCCATGACACAGAAGCCTCCCAACATGTAAATACGCCTTTTCATGATCTTATATCGTTATTATAATCGTTACATCAACAGCAGGGTGTCTACTAAAATAGGCTGGCCAAAAATCAGGACTTTTACAGTGCTTTTTCAGTACATTCCCAAGAAATTTAGTACCTCTTCAACAGAAAAATTCAGTACTTTTTCAGTACCTTCATTTGACGAAATTCGAAAAATTTCAGAAATTTGAATTTCTCGCTCAAATTGCGACAAAAATGACAAAAATTCTGGATCTCCTTCCAGAATTTCCACACTTTTTCAGTACTTCCGGACCGCCCTTAATAAAACAGTACTATTTCCGGACTTGTAGACACTCTGAACAGGGTAGAATTCAGTGTCAGATATTAAGTCAGAAGGGAATTGTTTGAAACAAAAACAGACAAATTAACTGACAAGAACTGTCCAATTGCAGGTGAAACATTTTTTGAAACCCTGTTAGTGATGAATCATCCAATTTTTGGGTGGAGGATCATTTAATTTTTTGAGTGGTGGGTCAGGTCCCTGTCGTCAATTACTCGAGGAGCCATTGTTTACGAGGAAATTATTTCAGGAACACAAATTTTGTCCAGTTAGGTCCAAAAATCAAAATTTTGCTCTAAACTGATACTCTCTAGTGACCTGAGGAGTGACTTGCAAGCAGTTTCATTTATTTTTGTGAAAAAAATACAAGAAGGGCATGAAATTGTATTTTTAACAGAACATTTTGAAACTGAACATAAAAAATAAAAACTTTAAATTGCTGGTTTTCGAAATTAACATTTTGGAATTATGAACTTCAAACTGTCAAAATCCTGATTTGGTTATGCCTTTTAATGAATTATTTAGGCCAAAATGTTTGTAAAACACTCATCGAGGCAGTTTTACAATTACTTCAATTTTGAGTTTTTTTTTTGGCACTATGGTCTTTTTTTCTGGGGATGGTCAGAGATATTAAAAAAAAATTGTATGGCAGTACGTGTTTAGTCGGTAAATATCAGATAAATACCTCTTCCAACCTCAGCAACAAGATGGGCAAACTAACAGACTGACTAAGACTTGGAAACTCCTTTTTACAACTGAGGAGATGTTGCTTGACGCTTTCTGGAGAACCATTTAAAAGGATAATTTTGACTATGTCTCCATTATTTTCTAATAAGTGACTCAATTCAAGGGCAACACAGTTACTCCATGTTTCAGCTACGATTGTGTACGATCCTTCAGGCTTAATTCGTTTTAATGACTAAAAACACACAAAGCAAAGCAAAGCAAATTGAAATGAGCAAGAAAAGTAAAAAATAGGTAATAAAGCAATAAGATCTGTGTTATTTCCTAGTTATTATTATTTTTCCTACGCGAGATGTTTGTTTCCAAACTGATTGATGCCCTTGTTTTTAACAAAATGTACAACAACTACACAACAGTGCATGTTTCATCATTCTCATAATACATGTTATTTTGTCAATAATAAGCAGTGACCTCCTATCCGATTGAAGGGAGAAAAAGGAAGGAAGGGGGAGGGGGAATTCATCGCCTGTGTTAAATCTTCACCATTTTGAAAACTTTGAATAGCAGAATTTCAATATTGGATCACCAATGAATAGCATATTTTATTCGTCAACATGGTAACAACAAGAAGTTACTTAATTTCATTATACATGCTTTAAAGTTTTTACAAATTTTTAAAGCAATTTTCAATGAAAAAAATTAATGGAATTACTTAGGTTCATGAATAATATGACTTTCTGAATCAAGTGGATATAGTCAAGTTTTAAGAAACTTTCAAGATGACAAGTTTACAATATCTGAGAAGATAAGCAACAACTACAAAAAAAATAATGATTTTAATAGAAAAAATTTAATAAATCAAAACAATGTACCTGAAATAAGTCTAAGGCAGTTGTTTCTGCCGACTCAAAGTAGAACGTGGGAGTTGCACAAAATGCAGGATACATCAGACGTTTGAAGATACTTTTTAAGGACTTACAACTATACCCAGGAATAAAAAATATTGGGTTGCATTCTTTTGTAAATTTATAAGGACAGCTTCGAGTCATGACTTCTTCAAATACGCAACACTGAGATAGTTCCCCACTTAGGTCTATTAAATCTCGCACTGTTGTTGGCAGTAACAGGTTGAAATTACCTGGAAAAAAATATACATACTTTAACACTTTACACCTCTGACCAGTTAAATTGCACAGAAACAAATGTTGCTTATGCAGACTTGGAAAATGAAAATTCAAGTGGGTTTGAGAACATTCAAACACTACTTGAGGAACTTTTCAAAGTAGAATGTTTTAAAAAATAGAGTAAAAAGAATGTAATTAGAAATATTAATACAATTTAGATAGAATTAGAAATATAATTTAAACGAGTAAGGTGAATTAATTACAAATACCTGTTTTTGGTTTTTGACTTTGGCATTGGTGTAATGAAATGGTTGAGGCTGGAAATACATCTTGTTTCAGAGCTATGCTACTGATAATACTTTTCAGATACAGTAGAATGTACTTGAGATTCCTTGAATGACCTTTCAATTCTACATTTAAACTAGGATAACAGTCTAAAGTCCTTAGATGGCATAATTCCTCGGAATCGTTCAATAAGCTAATGAAGTATGAATGAGATAGTCCCATCTGTCTGGAGACTAAGTCAATGTTCCTTAATTTTGCTTTATCCTGGAATTCATAGAAAACATAACATCTTAAAAACTACTGGAACTCCTAGTATCTACTACTATGTAACCTAGTATCTATCTTCGATGTAAAGAAATGTTAAGTATTACATTTGACTGTTTAAATGAAATAGAGACCTTCATCCCTGGAGGCAGATACTTCTAAGGAATGATTTTTATCAAGTTAATTTAAGAATTGATTATTGAATGTTTAGAGTAAAATGGATCGCATGGAGCAGAAAGGAACCAAGTCACATCAGCCATTGCTAAATTTCATCGGATGATTTATGCTTTTACAGGAGAATGGTCAGGCAGATTTTTTTTTAATATCTGTCGTATTTCTGTGATGTGAAGCAAATTCTCTGAAATTTTCAAAATAATTCATACAACTGCCCTCCTGTAAAAGAATAAATTGTTCGATAAAATTTGGCAAAGATTGATGCAAACTGGTTCCTTTCTGCTTGACGCAGTCCAAGTAATCTTCAGCACTTAGAGATTGAAAGAAGCTTAGTTCATTTTCATGCAAAATTAGAGCTGAAAAATACACTTTTCTCTAACAGCATTAAACTTTGGGATAGGAGTCTTGTATAAACTTTGAAGTCCTTTTTATTAGAGCTACGTTTTTTGAGCTTCTAACGTCAATCTATTATGATTGCTATTCTGTTTGATATTTTTGGATATTTTAAACGCCAATAAGTTTGTGTCCATTCCTTTGCGCAAAGTTACCAACGATCAATTTTAAGTCCTAGGAACTAAGATCCTAAGACAACAGTAACGAATCAAAATTTTTAAAAAACAAGAAAAAGAATAATATTAGGATCATTACCCTGTGCCATCACCCATACCCATAAAATAGAATTTTCATTTGATTAGAGTAATTTTAGACCTAAAAAAATAAAAAAGGATACTAAAAAATGAATTAGCTTACCAATGATAGGCAAAGAATGACATTCAAGGTACCAAGGTTACCGGCTGCTTTCATCATGTTTTGAGTCCCATGAATCGTGTCTATTTCAGAATCAAGTAAGAGTAGGAAGGAAACCTTGTTGTATTTGTGCATCAACTGAAACAGCTGGTGTTCTAACGCTTTGTTGGCACTGTTTCCACATAAAGCTATGATGATTTTTTTGGCAGAATTTTTCAAAAGCCAGGAAACCAACTGAAGCCACATGCTCTCTTTTGAAGCTGTTCAACAATTGATATATGGTTTTAAAAACAAGGTGCTGATAGGATAGATTATGATTGTAAAACTTTAGATGAGTTTGTTTTTCACAACAGACATAAATTTGGTATCACATTTTTTTGGAAAACGAATAAAATTTTAAGGAAAGTAATGCATTAATATTATCAACAAGCTCAGGTTGAATCCTTCACTAAAGACCTACAAACTTTTTTGCAATTTCACATCTACCTTTTTGATAAAGCACAATCGTAAAAAGTTCCACATTTCTTTCTATCCAGAGCTTTCCAAAGTCTTACATCCGTTGGAAATTAAATGAATTTAGAAAGACATCTTACCAATGACTAAAAACGTTGTTTGAATAGGATGAGTTTGGACCTCCTTTTCTTTGAAATTTAAGACGGACACCACTGCTTTGTTGCCTTGACTTTCCTTCATCAAAAAACTATAGACAAAAATACAAAAGCATTACAATGGCTAGGTAAAGTCGAGAAATCCGTACCTCAGATTGCTACGTTGTGAGTCTCAGCTCATGTTTTGTTTTTTTTTTAAGGAAAGATAACCAAAAATTTGCTATCCTAGTAAGAGAACCATTAAAATTTTTACATATAATTGAAAAATCATTTTCATGCATTAAAGCAAAGGTCAATTACCATGATACAACATTCTTTTATCTTAAATCCAATGAAAGTTTTGCTCTCTCATAATGTACAACGGAATAATCTTCAATATAATTTTCCTTTTATAATTTCCATTTAAAATATACTTTATTCAGCTGATAAATCAATTGATTAAAATAGATCGAAGTGTGATAAGAAATAAAAAAAGCAAGAAGTGAAAATAAACTTACTTAAATAAACCAGTTTTGTCGTCACAATTGAATACTGATTTAGGTAACGGTTTTAAAGATAAGGTTCTTAATTTTTCAGCTATGAAAGAATGGATTTCATTTTTCAACTGTGCAGGACAATTTAATAGGTCAACATCTGCAAACCCATACAGGGAAACAGCCTTCAAGAAAACATTCATGCCTGTTAAAAAAACATAGCTTAAAATGACTGAACTTCAGCATGTAATAAATCTGTTCCGATTATCGATGATTACCAAACATGTAAATCAAATGAGAATCTGCTTTGAAAATGAAAAATTTCTATTCTCTTAGTCCAGAGTATTTAATAAAAGTGAGCAAAAAAAGTTGATATTTAAGCTGGAATATATAAGCTGTACGTGCATTGCAATGCAATAACTAAATTTCAGACTTAAGTAATGCTCATTGTGATATTTGAAAAATTTTACGGAAAGACCTAATATTCTCGTAGATCTAGCTGTCTGGCGATTCCTACCCGACTATTCTGGAATAGTAACTGCCCCAATTTGGATCATTGATGTCTCTTCGGTTTTTTCAACATTTGATCAGGTATTCATAGCTGAGCATTTGTTAGATATTTTGTCTGTAAAAGTTCAATTAAGCTGGTGGGAGATTGCATCCGTGCATTTTTTGCGAGATCAGAATAATGTAAGAATCTAACATATTACAATGTAACAACATGTTAGACTGAAGGTTACAGTAAAACAAATGCTGATCTCTTTTGTGTTATTTCCAGGAAGTCAGGGAAGATTGAAGTAAGTTTAGTGACAACAACTGATCAAAATGGAAATGTTTTTATCAAAGAGTCAATACTGTCCAGAGATGAGCTGTATCTTTCAGGAAATTCAAAAGCTTCCCATTAAATATTTTCAAATTACTTTCACACTTTAATATGGCCCTGATCAGTCGGTGACTGAGAAGACCTTCACTCAATTCCTTCATTAAAAATCATCTGATAACTCACCTAATTTAATTTTATTCTTCATCTCAAGGTTTCCTAGCTGGATACAACAGCCCCAGTGAGAGAGGAGGTTTAAAGAAGTTGTCAGCAAATTGCCGCAGAAAGGATTAATAGCAACAAAAATGCCTCCGAATCTTCTTGTTAGACATCGTACATTCAAATCAAGAATCTCATCAAGAAGCAATATGTGCAAGTTTTTGGACTGAAAACAATGGAAAATTTTGAAATATTAGTTTGAATCAGAACGTGGTTTAATTTTATCAATCGTCAAACAATGACAAATCAATGGAGGCATAAGAATACTCATATTATACTTGAAACTTCTGGCGGAGAAAAATTGCATGGCCTCATTTTACGGCTTTGTTTTCTGTTTATCTAACAGCTTCAGATCCAGGGGAGTTGGAGTTGTAAGCCAGAGGAGTTACCTATTTTTCTTTTTTATCGTTAGGACATAAATTTACACCAACTCATATTGCACGTATTCAAGCTTTCCACTCAGAAACACCCATTTCTGGGCAAACAGCTCATAACGTAACTTTAAAAATTAATAATTGTAGACCAGAAATAACATATTAAGCGCTCAGCTGATAGGCAGGGCTTTTTTATTTTGACTTGCCTCTAGAATACTAGTATACTAGTGCTAATTCGTTTAAATGGCTCACCAGCTCATTGATGTGTAGGCTTTTTGGGGGAGTCCAGTTTTAAAATAAATAAAGCTGTGATAACCATATTTTATGCTTTTAACGTAATGCGCGGGTAGTTACGATCGTTTGTCTATAAGAAATTTCCTTAGCGGTAGACTAATTCTTATCGAAATTGATCGTTGAAAATAAAAGAAGCCTAAAAATAACGCGCCTGATGAGGTCAACGGTGGCTATCATTTTCGGGAAACGAAAAAACGCGTTTACGGTTTCCTTGGTAACCTTTGTTTGCTATCAGCTGATGTTTTATTTCCATTTCCCAGCCAACTCGACGGAGTTTATACACTAAATACATTTACTAACACCTGAGCGCTTTTCTAATATGAAAGTGTTAGAACTTTCCCGCTTGTTCTTCTTTTGTTTTAAATTTATTTCAGTCTACAGGGATATGATTGATAGAAAGAGACCATTTTTGGTTTTCTTCCGACGACACCCTGGATCACAAGTATGAATGAAAACTTTAAATGCGATTTTCTGAAACCTGCTTTTTTCGCCATATGCTGTTTGGTCGGAAGGGTCCCCATGTATTAAAGGATAAAACTTTGGTCAGTGATGAGTCTTTCAGTTCCTCAGCTACTGCTGTCGAACAATAAACTAAGGTTGAAATGATTGTCGATTAAAAATCTGGAATTAACTGAGCAAGTTTTCAGGAGAACATAGTAATTAAATGTAGGTACCTGCAAAAATTGTTTGGAAACGATGAGAGCCTTTTCACTGCTTTCAACAGTAGTTAATACAATAGCTCCGAGTTCTAGGGCAACGCTGATAGATGCCAGACCCACAGCAGAGCTGCCACCATGAATTAGTACGGGTTTATTTTTAATGTCTGAAGCAGGAAGTATTCCCAACATATAATAAGCCTAGACAGAGTTACAGTATGCTATAAGATAGAAGGATCGAATATAGGAGCAATGGAGAGAAAAAAGGCAAAATATTTATGGACGTTATCAGTTTTAAAACTTTTTTAAATTAAGCGCAAGATTCATAAATTCAATAAATTCAAACTTACTTCCGATCCAAATGATTTGCGCTTCCTCTGCGCAATACAAATGATTGAGAGAATAATTAATTCTTGTCATCTGATCTACTGGTTTATTGTATATATAAAATTTTTATTGAAACATATTGAACGTATAAATCGCTGGGACTTTTGGTAAAACTTGTGATTTTCACTATGATATTAGAAAAAAAAAAAAAAAAATGATTTTGCTAGCCTGCTCATATGAAAAACCTGTTTTTGGGACCTTCCCTTCTTTCGAAAGCAACTGCTTGCAACCTGTCTGGTCGCGTGGTCAGAAAGTTTTTGTACCCCTAACTCTCGATAAATGCACTCAGGAGGAGAGAAACGTAGCCAAAACATTAATAAATCTTCACATATTCTATTGATCACAAAATGTCTCTTTGCCAGGATCACTAAATTATGCAATAGATATTGTGTGTCAGAAAGTTTTTGCACTCAGTAGAAGCCTACCCTACCAAACAAGGAATATTCTAAAATTTGGAATTTGTAGACATTTTACAAAACATATAATCTAGACATATGTAATTTACCAGGCTGTAAAGATAGGGAATTGTTGCCACTTCTTCATCTGACCATGATTCAGGCGCAAACCATTTTAGGGTCGGATCAAATTGGAGACTTGAAGAATCGTCATCAAAGTGAGCTAAGCCAATGATTCTCTTCTTTTCGGGATCCAATCCTACGTAGTCGATGTAATGTACCGCAACCTGAAACACGCAACTGATGTCAGATTAAAATATGAACAAGAGGCAACATGAATACACAGCATCAGTTTTAAAACTGTGTGAGCCCAGTGGTATGAGGATTGAGAGTGAGCTCTTTACAGACTATTTTTAGGCCTTCAAACCAATCTTCTCCTCCCTTTTGCATCCTTTATATAAATTTTCATTTTTACTACAGATTCTAATTACTTCTTTTATCTTGGTTTCTCTTAAAAATATCAAAAAGCCTTTGCTTTGATCTTTCAAAAATTTCCTGTTAGGCCACATATAGAGGAGACAGTTGTTCACTTTTGCTTTACACATGATATTATAGATGTAAACCAATTTGATAAATAAATTGTTAATGATTGAATAGTAAACAACGTCAGATGCTAAAAAGTTCTTTCTCACAGAACCATTTAATAGTCATTTACTAATCTGTTGCGCACTCAGCTCTTGTTTATTACCTGCTTACAAGCTGCTTTCCCCATCATATTAGTATTATTTCCCACACAACTTGCCATGAGTTTTAAAAGTCTGTTATATCAATAGGAAGAGGAAATGTTTACAGAATTTGCTAATGCTAATTTACCTCACGCTCTGTGTTTAAATCAATGGTTAGGTCCTTGAGGTTGACGCTAATGTGACTTAATTGTACGTTGAATCTGTAAAAAAGATAGAGAGAACATGTTTTAAATTTTCACAAGAAAGTTTGATAAATTGCATTTAAATCAACCAAAATTTTAAAGAATATAAATGTTAAACGTTGTGTATGCATGTATATTTTGAAATATAAGGCATCATTATAAAAACACTAGAGAACCCTGCACGGAGCATGGGGTCAGCGGCTCTCGATGAAAGTCGATGAAACTTTAATAGATTAATAAAAAGTTTATAACTAAGGGAAAGCCAAAAAATTAGCCCACTTTTGCGAGTAGAAGCCGAGATATTCGCGATTGAACCCAGACTATTTTCTGTGCGGCAGAGGTAAATTCTCCGAGTCGCCTTACCTTCCTTGAGCACTTCGGCCAGAAAACCCCCTCTCCCCACCAGGTAACTACGATGTCGCATTGTTTACACTCACTCCTTTGATTAGGACGCTCCGTTCGGGCTGTGCGATATGGTGTTCCCTGCCTCTCGCACCTCTACCGTGTTGGCGCCGCCGCCGGTCGCTTTAATCTGAAATGTAGTTGCCGAAACAGAATTGACAGATGCGGGGAGAGGGACGGAATACGGCATTCGCACCGGCCGAGCGCATAAGCACCTATCTTCACGTGAGTGACGTGAGGTCTGATCGAGAACGGCGAACAACGAGAGGAGAGGAGACTCGGAATTCTTCCGCCATGCTGCGGCATGATAGAAAATAATCCGGATTCAATTGCGAATATCTCGGCTCTTACTCGCAAGCGTGAGCTAGCTCTTTGACTTTCCCTTAATTATGAACTTTATATTAATCTATTAAAGTTTCATCAACTTTCACCGAGAGCCGCTGACCCCATGCTCTGTGCGGGGTTCTTTCCAGGAAGATAAGGCTCCTCTTACTAGATAATGACAACACAGATAAATTTCATTAACTAACCTCTCAAATGAATCTTCTAACGGCAATGACAACAAATTTTTCTGTGGGCAACAATCTTGCTCTGGTACTGACATGTGGTTCAATCCACCCCATTGACCATTTTTAAGTATGTTAACAACAAGTCCACATTTTAGACGCTGATGGTAAAATGGATCATCCAGTGAAAAGGATCTTGCATCAGGATCAAGAATGAAAACTAACCTGAAAATAGAGAGAACGTAGATTTTCAAAAAAAAAAAAAAGAAAACAAAATAGAAAGGGTTTGTAAAGGGAAACAGAATTGGAGAGAATCTAACACTCAAATTCACAAAAATAAATCAGAACGCCAATAAGTTTTGTGACTCCACGGTCCTTTCATCAGGGAAGTAGAAACAACGCAATTGGCCAGGGATTGTGAAATGAGATTATTTCTGTGATTACAGGATGAATTAGGAAAACCTGAGTTTTTCGATATTTTTATTTTGACAGCGTTTCGGCAGAAGAAAAGTCCAATTTTTTAAGGATTTTTTTTTCACTTTCAGACTAGCCTATTATGAATGTTACTTAAAATTGGGGGAAGGCCAATTAAATTTGAGAGAAGCCTGGGATCAAGCTGTACTCTTGCCTTTCACAAAAGAAAACTTTTGATGCATGAAAAATGAGTTGTTACTAAAATTACGTTGCTTGACTGAATTTATTTGAGAGAATTATTACAAGAAATAGAAAAAAAAAATATATATAAATGAAAGCAAGTGGCATGCTTAGACACCCAAATTACAGAAATGAAGAGAGAAGTCTCGAAATTACATGGATCCTTATGGCAAAAAGAAACTTCAACCTGACTTTTTGATGATTAAAAATTGGAATGTGGGAGCGAATTTTTCACAGAAAATGCATTAAGACAAGTTTTACTTGAAATCATTATTCAACTCAATTTTTAAAAAAACTGCACATATGCGCTTTGTCCTCCAAGTCCCTCAAACAATTGAAAAATACTAGGAGTCCTTCTCTCAGTAAAGAAAATTTTGCTCCATACTATTTACATCAATATCTTGTTTGAGTAACAAGGTGGAGCAATGGTGCTGGGTTTTCACCATTTCGCAGGGAAAACAAGGCCGAGAAAATGCCGAGCCGGGCCGGCACCTTGTTACATACAATTTGCAGGCCGTTCTTTTGGTTTTTTTTTTCTCGTTTATCATGTTTATGTTGAATCCAAAAATTTGATTCAAAGTACATATTTGGAGGTAAAATATTAATTACGTAGAATTATTTTACCGAACGATTTTTTTAAGTAAATTTATACTACGGATTCCTCAGCTTTACTCTTTTACTTTTTCAGTACTGAGATACTTTTGCCAGGGCCATTACCTGATGAACTCCTTCGGTATACTTGATTTTTTGACCTGAAGGAAAATCCTGAGAGGATCAATATTTTCAAGCTTCTCCCAGACAAAAACAAGCACACCATCGACATTAATAGCATATTCTTGCACAGACACTTGAAAATAAATCTTGTCCATTTTGATTACTCGCATTGCTTCCGAGAATGGAACCTGGAACAGAAATTTGTCTCGGTTATATCCAAATAGCTGAAGCACTGACTACTCAGTTGGGGGTAAAGTAATTGTATTTTTACTTTGATGAGGTAAAAAAACTTCAAATAAAAAATTGGATGATAGGTAATCCTTGAAAAAAGTGAAACAAGTCAGAAAATATGCTACTTAGGAGGCAAGTCACCCACTCCGCCAATCATCACAACCCTCGGGCGACAGCTCACAGCAGTCATGGCTATATAAGCTGCGATCTCATCATCATTGTACATTCCGCACCCGTAAGCCACAGTGCACATCTCGTACGTAATGCGGCCGGCCGGCTCACCCTTTTCAATGGCCCTTATTAGGGTCCGCCACTTCTTAGAGCACCTCTCCTCTCATGGCTTAGTCCATACTACAATACACATTACACAAACGGATGCATGCTTTTCTTGTTCCACAAATGATACAGGCAGTGTTATGTTACATACTTTAACTTTGAAAAAATTCTGAAATAATCTAGAACTTTGTGACAAAGCAACCTATTCCCCCTATTCAAGGAACATGACTAGGATTTTAACATTTCACATGGTCTATCGGTTGATTTTAACAAAGTTTTGGCCTCAGTTCTGTTTAAACTCGATGACTAGTGGAGCTTATCAGACTATACTCAAAGTAAAAGTAATTGGATTTAAATAGAAACAATAGTTCTAATCAATGAAAAATATACATTTTTGAACGGGACACAGGCTTAGTGAGTAAAATAGCTTTAAAAGTTAGGAGTAGACACAGTACCTTTCTTAGTAAAACATATCTTCTGTTTTCAAAAGCAAATTCTGATAACAAAGCTGTGCTCGCATCTACTAGAAGATCTTCATGTTTGGGTACAGAAGTAAGATAAAATCCATCATAGCATCTATTAAAATCAATTCTGAAGCCGCCTTCAATGTCAATTATAACACTGTTGTGATTGAAAACGGAAGGAAAATGCTTGAAACCATCTACTAATTGAAAATCTACCTGAAACAAAACCAGTATTTCAGTGTCTACAAAATTACGATATATTTTCCTTGGTCAATGTTCTTTTCTAAAATGAGCAAAACTAGGAATATTCCGTACATGAACTGTTGTATGGAGACAGCCTGGATTGCAAAATTCAGACAGAGGAACCCTTTAATGAAATGTATGGAGAGAAAAATAATTTCCCTGGAAATCAAAACGCTTGAACACTATGAAAATCTGGAACCTGTGAACAATCAATTTTTTTGAAGTTCTTCTTAGTGATTAAACTTCCAGGTCACCTTCTCAACACGATGTGATGTGGTTCTTGGCAAATATCGATGGTGAATCTACCAGACCTTGTATCTCGTTTGCAATGTTTAAAAATGTCCACTTCCATTTTATTTTTTTTGAAGGAGAACAAATCAGTACCATTCCTCATAGTTTTCACGGAGTTTTCTTCGCAGGGAGAAAAAAAATCTCGTAAGTTTTCAAGAATTGATGTAGAGTAGTTCTCTATTTAAAAAATAAAGTATGACGGGAAGTCTGCAACGTTGCAAACCAAGATACGTGGTCTGGTGGGTAGTTCCGCTACTGATATGCATAGTATAGTTAAGGATTTTCTTGACTTAGAATAACTTTTGTCTTATTTTTCTTAAATTTTTATCATTTAATTATTTACATTTCCCTTTCCAAATCGAAACAAATAGGCAAGAGAGGTGCCCAAGACTGATCATCCACCCATGCCGGGTTCTTAATCCCAGAATAAATCTTGTTATAGGGGAAAAAAAAACTTTAATTTCCAGGAAAACAAATAAATAAATAAACTCCTGTGAATGGTGTTTCAATTTTGTCATAAAAAATAGGGATAAGCAAATAGCCAGGATTAATGAGCAGCACAAAGATCCATAAGGATGGTTTGTAGAAAAATACTTACACAAACGTCAGACTGAGAATTACAAACGAGCCGAAATTGTTGAGAAACTTGAGAACCCATGAATTTGCCTCCTGATTCTAAAACCGAAATGTATGTTCCACTGTGCACCCAATTTGCACTGACTATTTCTATGATCAATTGTAAGCACAAGTCTAGAAACTGCTGTAAATTCTGAAATACATAGAAGATTAAATATTGATGAATGAGATTTGTCAAATTACAACGATTTCCAAAAGAAACAAAGGATATTTGAAAAAATAAAAATTTTGATGCTTAATTGAGCTCTTGCAATACTCGAAATTTCCAATTTAAGTATTTTCTCTTAGATGAAATTTTGCGAGACTCTTTGAAACAAACAACTAATCGCAAAAAAACTCTCAGAGTTGGGGCCCTAAAATCTGCCTCTTCATTCTGTTGAACACCCCATGCATAGATAGCGAGCAAATACAACAGCAGGGTTGCTTTGTCTTGGCTACAGTCTTTGAGTCCCCACACAAACTGGCAACAGCTGGTGTATTTTCTTCCTATCCATGCATGGAGAGTTTGAAGTGAATTATATCTCATAACATGGGGGATTCCCTTCATTAAAGTTTTTTATTTATGAGTTTGGGAGTTTTTTCCAGGAGAAACCAGTGGCACCATCAAGTTTCTTGCAAAATTGTATGATGGATAATGATTTTAAAAAAAAATCCTCATGGCATGCAGAGCTCTATTCAAATGGTTTCTTTTGTTCTATGATCCTCAACAATATCATGTTGCACTTTTTTCTACTGTAATTGAACATATCAATCTTTGTGGGCAGAAAAAAAATAAAAATTGAGAGGAATTAATTTCTAATCTTCTTCTCTGAGAGCTCAATTTTGAGAGTACAAACTGCAGCCTATTGTTGAAATTTTTTGTTTGTCGGGACAACATAGATGACATAGGTTAAACGGCGGTGCGTGATTGGTCGGCTATGTTTTATCGCTGCTTTGTCGTGCCTATGTCGGGTTGAACTCACGACAAGCTAACTGCACCTCTTGAGTTTTCCACAGTATGTCGTCCACTCCACCTGACAAAGGCACGACAAAGCAGCGATAAGACAAAGCTGACCAATCACGCTCCGCCTTTTAACCTATGTCATCTATGTCGTCCCGACAAACAAAAAGTTTCAACAATCAGGCTGCTGGAGTGCTTGGTGCTCCACTGTTTTTACCAATATTGCTGCTCCATTTTAAGACTTACTTAAATTTTAATTCAACTCCGGCTTCATAGGTGACACTAACTAGAAAAGCAATATAAATTGCATTTCACAGGGGTAAAAATTCACTATTATCAACCATAATTTAAGAGATGCGGATTCAAATTGAAATGATAGTAAGAACATCAAAAGCAAGAGTGAAATGATTAAAAGGCTAAAGAGCTAATCATTTTTCCTTACCATAAATGGAGGATTAATATTCTGTGTCAATTTGAGCGTTTTCACTTCAAGTTTGGGATTTTCTTTTAAAGACACAGGCGATGTTTGAAGTCCTGATAAGTTTAATCCTTTGGTTTGGATGCACCTTAATTTCAGATCCACAAAAACGGGTATGACAGAATCTAAAGCAAAAATGGAAAAAAAAATATATATATATAAATAAATATTTCTGGAAGTGTCTGTACAGTTAACTACATTGTAAAAATATATAATGTGACTATATATAAATATAGACACATTTTTGCTATGTGGTGAAGGATTTTTAAAAGATGACACTGGAATTGCTCTCATTAGAAATTCGAAAAACTTTGAAAAGAAATTTGATACCATAAGATTGCTACAATGGCGATTATCCATATTTCACTACTGACTAATTCTGATTTTGTACCCATAAAGCAAACCGATTTACTATGCCATCTAACTTTAGCCAAGACTTATCAGTTAACCTGCAATCAACAATTAAGGATCAATACTTTATCTGCAGGGATACATTTTAGAGTAGTTGAAAGAATTTACCTTCAGGAATATTGCTGAAAACTGCAAAATTCACAGTTAAGTTGTGACAACTGTTGGGAAGTAATGGTACAAAATCAGTGTTTAGAATTATATCAAGAGCGACTTGCACATTCAGGATTGCATCCAAGAAAGCAACAATATTGTTCGTCCAGCGTACAGATACGAGGCACTCTGAAAGCAAAATATTACACAAATTTATAAGATAAACGCACATTCTTCATTGTCTAAAACTAAATCAGGCTCATTGAATCCACAATGGCAATATGAAGAGGAGAATTTCTTCTCTTTTTGCGAAGAATAAAGAATGTTGTGAATGGGTCACTAAACCATGAACGAATTTTGACTTGCAAATATAGTTTTCTGAAGGAAAATGACGCATAGAACACGATGCGGGCTTTAAAAACGCAAACAAGTAACTCAATAACCGAGAAATGCGCAGTTCAAATCGCTCAACTTATACGCAAATTTAAAACGTCCCGGTTTCGCGCCGCACCGAATGATGTCATCCGGCACCAATCAGAAGCGGGCACGGGTTTCCACGACGTCAGTCAAATGTCTATCTACTCTTCGTATATGAGAACAATACTAAAGTCGAAATTATATCTTTTGAATTCTAAACTCGAATCTCATTCATATGTTAGCTGTAATAAACAAACAACTATTCCACATTGAAATACGTTTTATTTTAACAATCATCAGAGGAACATGAGAGAAGAGTGCGATATGACTACCGAAGTACATTAACACCGTCAGTTTTCTGCCATTCGGGTGCGTTTGAAATGTCTTGCAGTTTTAAGGTTTTTCAAAAGCGGTTTTCTCCGCGATTTCGACTCCATGAAAATGCAGAAAAATCACCACGTTACCTACTCACATAGTGCTTTCAGAATATTCAATAAAATAAACAAGGTTTAGTGACCCATTATTACCCCCAAACAAAGAAAAAAAACTAAAAGAAAAAATAACTGATTTGGAAACTTAAAGATTCTAGACTGATAAAATATAGAAATAGAAAATTTAAAAACATGTTACATACCATCTTCGTTGAGAATAAGTCGCTCAACAAGATCAAAAGGACTAGAAATTTGTATTCCGACGCTTTCAAACAAGGCAACAAGATCCATTTTATCAAAACGAACATTGGTGCTGTTCTGGCAGCTCAACTGACTGAAGCGGGACATATTGTTCTCATACCAGTTATCTTCAGATGTTTTTCTATTGTTGTCCAAAGGCAGTACGTTCATAAAGCCGCTTAACAATGTTCCACTCTCATGGAAAAATTCAAAGTTTCCATTTGCTACACTTCGCTGAACAATGATTTCAAGATTATCTGTAGGGGGAAAAATTTGGAAAAGCACACATTTAAGAACCCTTTGTAGGATGGATGTTACACCAAATCTAATTTAAAGCCGATTGCAATTGCTTTCAGCTCTGGCAAGTTGCAATAGGTCGGGTAGGTTTGAACGCATCCAGTTTTTCTTGAGTTGAGAGAAATAATTTGTGTACAAAAGAACGAATTTTAGAGAAAGCAGGGGATGGACAGTTTGCCATTAACTGACAACTACAAGCACCAGAAAATTGTGTGTTAAAAGTTGCTTTTTCTTAAATTTGTCTAGTTTATAATAATATTATGTGTGTTAATAATTTGAGATTTGATAATGACTTTTAAATTTGAACAAGTAGCAAAAGCTACCTGCTGAGGGGGCNTGGAGAGTTTGTCTTCATGTAGACGTGGACTTTCAGGGTAGGGTGGGATATCCCCTCCATTTTGGCCTCAACTTGAGAGCTTTTTTTGAGCTTGGGAGATGATTTCAGAGAAAACCAGTGGCACCATCGTGTTCCTCGTGAACTTTTATACAAGAATCAACAGTCAAATTGCAAATGCCTCGCACATGTAACATCTCCATTGGGCCAAAATGCACCGATATCAATACTTCATATGTTACTTGGTTCCTCGAAAATTCTCCTCTTGGACTTAGCCTAAAAGTGTGAACACTTTTTAGCCTCCGGCGAAACCTAGAGTCTATACGGCTTCGCCGCACGACTAAAAAACTATTTCAGTCAGGTAATTCTCGCTTCTTTTAACGTTTTTTCTTTTGGAAACACTATGTAATTTCATTAGATTTACTTGTTTTGATCTATAATTTCAGATATAACACACCATTACACACATTTAAATACCACAAAATTAACTAAAAAAAATAGAACATAAAATGACATACCGTTGATGTCTAGCGTCAAGTGTTTCTCAAAGATCAAGTCTTCTGCAAGAATTGCAGAACTACTCAAATCCACTTTCTGAAGCTTGCACAGGTCTTCCATTAATTTAACCTGAGAAATCATGAAAAATGAAAACAAAAGATAAAACCCATGAGTTAAATATTGGCACAATATCCCCCTTAGGGAAAGAGATATTTCTGAGTTGACATAAAAATGAAAATTTTAGAGCCTCTTCATCCTGGAATAAGTTCTGCTGGTAGGATAAGACCTGCATTTTAAGTAAGCATTATCTGAATTGCAGAGCAATTACATCAAGCTTTACTTAGTTCTGTTGAGATTTCATGGAAAAACCTGTAAAGTGGCGCAAACCTAACTCGAGGTCTTATAATTCATGAATGCTTGATACAGAATAAAAACCAGAATCTAAAAGCCGAGAAGACAAAAAAGAAACCCCAGAGAGATAAAAATAAAAAAGTAAAACAAAAATTTTAGCAAACTATGTAGAGTGGTTTGCAATGTTAGTGCTTCTCACAAACATTCACCCATTGCGCACAAACACATCACACTGTAAAATAAGGAGTACCAGAAATAATGTTTATTCCTCGGACAATGACAAAAAATGTAAATTATCATGGCTGTAAAATTTTTCTGCTTACTCTACATTACCTAATGTTTAAAATTGTCCTGTATCCTGCTTTGGTTGCTTATGAGTTCGTAGAAATCAATGTATTCATGTCTATCGACAAAGATCCAAAGAATCAAAAACAAAATTTTTTTCCAGTTTGGGAAATTTTAGAGCAGAGAGTAAGAGGAAAGATAGTCACCAATAAGAATGCTGCTGGCAAAATTATTTTCCCTTCGATCTGATGATGAAGGAGAAACTTAAACTTGCTTGACTTCAAATCAATTGTAATTGTTCTTGGCTCCTAAAACATAGTAAAAAATTTCACCGAAAACTAATTAATTAAACAGTCAAGAATTGAGCGTTGAGTTTGTATTTTTGGTTAGATCATTGTTCAACAGTATATAGAGATTGGGTTGATATTATCTTATCTCAATAAAAACCTAAGAATAAAATAAAATGAGATAGATATCTAATAGAAAAAACACAAAATATAACTCAATCCTGAAGCCTTGTAGAAATTTCAAATTAAGGATAATGCACATCAACGCCATAGTGCGTTGACTTGGTACAAAAAATAATCAAAGCGGCACCAATGAAGGCAACAGTGATAGATGCCTGCTGCATGACAACTTTGATCTAAAAATTGAGCTAGTACAGCAGATTTAGGGTTTATGGTTTTCTTCATAATATGAAGCCCTTCATCTCCCCTTTCATTATTTTATTTCTTCATTTCTTTGCATGACAAGTTTTTATGAGCTTCTGTTCCCATTCTGTCTGTAAAATCAGCACACAATGGGCTTAACTAAGACTTTGAAAACACAATTAGGTTGGTAATGCTTGACCCCATTCGAATTACCCGATGACAAGTGGGCTTTAATGTGAATACCCAACATTCTTACCCAATGTTCAACGATATCCAAAAGTTATTGGGACTGTTCGGTTGCATTTCATAAACAGATAAGCTGACTAGTAACAGGTAACAACGCATCTAAAATTATCATAGTTTTTTCGCTGTTTTTTGTATTCAATTTTGTAAATATACTTATATGCGCAAAAATTTGAACGGTATTAAAATGCAAAGCTTTGAAAATTTGGAGCGTTTAATTTTTGGAACTTCAGAACTCAACATCTATCACTTATACAAATAGCATTTCATTGTTATTACATAACATGCGATGGTTGTTGGTCTGAAAAATTAAAGCAATACTTACGTCTCCAGTAAATTCACTGATGCTCCATTCATCAGAGTGATTCCACGTCATCAAAGGAACCAAGGATGGAACGCATGATGAAATCGGGAACTTTGGAGGCGGGTAAAGGGCATCCAACTGTACCTCTAACCCTGCAGTATACAACCTAGAATCATTATTCAGTTTCTTATTTGTATTTAAATATTAGTTAGACCCTCCACAGTTTACTGACGAAACCATTTTCATTGAAATTTGTTTGGGGTCATTTGAATAATTAAGTTATCTTGTTAGAACAAAAATCCATAAAAAAGTAATATAAAATTACCAGCTATAAGTTTTGTACAGATTTAAATTGATTAATATAAAAACCATTCGACTTTTTCAATATATTTCATAGCCAGGCGAATATATTTTAAATATAAAACGCTCTCTAAAACCCCAAAGGATGAATTGCAAGCAGCTCATTTTAATGCCAGTTAAGATCACGAAGTTGTATTGGTGAAAGTACTTGCAAGACACTTCCTTTGGCAGTGATACCATGTAGTGACCATCAAATGCAAGAGGTATTTCTTGGCAGTGTTACCATGTGGTAACCATCAAGTACAAGTGGTGGTAAATTTTAGGATTTAGGGCACTAGGATCCCTTTCCCATGGACTCTAGTACCTTTCACCTCCTACCGTGCCTGATAAGATGATGCTTTCGCAGATAAATATAAAGTTTATCAGATTATTGGAAAGAATTACAGCAAGACCTCGATCTATCGGATTTCACGGGACCTGAGGCCGAAATCGTTAAATCGCGCTTGTGGGTCCTGCTGAAGGGACCGGAGGATCGATCTGTTAAATCGCGGAATCCGTTGAATTGCAACCGATAATTCAAGGTCTTACTGTACACTTATTTTTCTTTAAAGCGACCATTTGAGGAGTAAAGCACTGACTTACTTTCCTATTGCGCTGAGCAGAAACTTAACTTGATTGCCAGCTTCCCGTTTCATGAGTGGGATGTGGATGCAACTTGCTGGAAGCTCTCTTGTAAGGATAGATTGAAGGAGACCATGAGGAGCAATCTCTATGACGACAGCATTTTCTGGGATATGACTGCATGCAGCATCGAAGAGCACGGTATTGACAAAATTATTATAATGATACTCCGCTGATGAATAACTTGCCAGCTCTGTTGACCAGAGTTCTTCAGGTATGGAAGAACTGATCCATTTGCTCGACCTCTTCTTTGGGTACGGCACAAACTGTTGAACATGAACAAAATAGTATTGGCTGCGGTAGAGTAAAAACGTATTAAATACTTTTAAGGTTTTCATTATTCGGATGAATGCAATTTGAGAATCAGATCAAAGAAGTCAAAGAATTTAAAGATTAAGGTCCGAATAAAACAGTTACATACATCTCACGAAAAACTGATAAGATAAATATGTAAGAAAATTTAATGAGAATTATTATAAATTGACAGTGTAAGTCTGCAATCACATATCTAGTTTGCGGTGTCTGAAAATCTCTGCCTTTATGTTATTTTTTTAAAGGAGAATAGATTGACATCATTCCTTGAAGTTTTTGCAGAATTTTCTTTACACAGAGAAGAAAAATCATGGCAGCTTCAAAGAACTGTTGTTGAGTAGTTTCCTGTTAAAAAAATAAAGAATGACAGGAAGTCTGCGATGTTGCAAACCGAGTTATGTGACTGCCCACTTACACCGTCGAAATATAGTGTCATATGAGAAACATGGTTTTTGTACTTAATTTCATTTGATTCCATTGACATGTGTTATTCCATCCATTTTTGAGCGTTTTCTTTTCTTTCATTTCGCGATTGGTAGTACTAGCGTCAGCCAGCAGAACATCTCGCGAATTTCTTTTTGAGTTTTGAGCCCACTATTTGTGTTTTCTTTGTACTTTAAAGTATTTTGTTTGCTTTGCACCTTTTTTGGTAAAACCTTTTTGAAGCGGTGGTATCAATATCTTAATTTTGAGTTCTTCAAGCTAAGGTTCCTATTTCCAAGGACAGCAAAGGTACAAAAACTTAAGGTTCAAAAATTTGCTTAAATGAAGGCTGAATAGTCATTCAACTTACTCTCTGAAAATCTTGCTTGAACTGCTTGCCAGCTTCAACAATGTATTGCGAGTGGTATGCTCGGTTGCCTGTACTCACAATTTTGTGGAAAATGTTCCGTTCCTTTAACTTATTGCAATATAATGTAACATCCTCGGCTAAGCCACTCAATGTGCAACTGGTTGAAGAATTTCGACATCCAACAACAACAGTAGGAGGTAAATCCCTTAGTTCCTTATAATTTGCACCTACAAAACAAAAACAAAAAAATTGATTTCATGATATTTTGGATTTAATTTGCTGAGAGGTGGATACTGTTAGCTGTAAAATGAAAAGTATGAGCTTCTTGTTTAATTCATCAGAATAGGTTCCTAAGTTTAGCATCTTATAAATTTGGAGGATAATTGTTTGAGGGATGGTTTTTGGAGACTTTCAAAAGTTTCGTTGCCTCATAATTTGATAGATGAATCATCAAAAATGTAATTGATACTAACACCATTCACTATTTCACGCTCTTACTGTTAAAAAAATATGTCTGATGTTTTTGAGAGTAATTAAACTTTTAAAGACGTTGATTCAAATAAAAAGAGGAAATGCTTTCCTACAGATTTCAAATTTTCAGTTTGAAACACTCAGTAAATTAACACTAATTAAAGGCAGCGTAGAGAGGTAAACCATTCAGAACTAACCATGTCCTGTAACTGAACCATGTCCATGTCCCTATCCTTGCCATGCAATACATCGCATTTCGATGTCTTATCAGGCTGCTTTAAACTTTCAATGATCAGCCCACTGCTCAAAGAGGCACTTACTTAGACAAGGAAATAAAACCACCTGCTATGAAAATATTCAATAACATAAAATTTAGGTAAAGGCAACAGTAAACGTACCAACAGCTACCATAAGTCCATTTGAAACGGGAGCATCAATCGATGATTTTCCTCTAAAATAAGAGCACATCATCGCTTGCTCTTTTGTAAAACAACCATCTGCATACGCACAGCAAGTTTCACCGAGAGAATGACCAATGATACCATCATACACAATTCCAAGGGCGAGTAGGAGATCCACCAGACCAATCTATAATTATAGTTAGAATTGAAACAAATAAGTAACTTAAAAAAAGTGCAGTTATGATTACTTCATGAGGCCACGTCATTTTTGGGAAACTTCTCAGAGACATTGATCAAAATAGGGAATATGTATGGACAACAAAGAGGAGAGAAGTGATTATAATAAATTAAGGAAATGGGCGTTCAATTTAAATCTGAACCAGATTCAGCTGTATTACCTCATTCATCTGCTTAAAACATCAATTGATAAAACAAAGGCTGGCAAGAGGGCCATATTAAAATCACAGACTATAAAACTAGAGAGCACATTGAAGTACACACCTGAATTGCCGTTATGCCAATAAAACAATTTATGATATTTTCAAAAATAGTTTTGTCATTTCGAGTGATAACGTCTATCAAGTCTACTCCAAAGGGTGTCATAATTTTTGCACACTCCTGCAATGATTTGGTGAACACTGGAAATGACATGAGCTCGCTTGCCATACTTGTCCACTGACACCCCATCCCAGTGCAAATGAACCACACAGATCGATTTTCAGAGATCATTTCCTGTAAAATTCGAGAACATTAATGGAAAACTTGCAATTCTACTTAGAAACAAAACATGGGTGGCTTGAATTTTAGACGATTGGCTACACTGCTCACACCAAAATTGGGTGTTAAAATTAATTATACCCAAACTGATACTTAGGAATAATGAACTTGTTGAAACTGAACTTTGTTTTACAGTCTTCTGAGCGGTAAATGCTAAAAGATGTATCAATCTGGTGAGATAAAATGTTAAATACGGGAGATTTAAAAAAAAATTGTCATTTCTTTTAAAATAAATCATTTAAAAAAATTCAATCGATACTGCAATATTAAATCATCGATATAATGATTTTTTTATAGATTAGTGTTACTTGTTATTTGTTGCTACTTGTATGCAGCTCCTGTGAATGACTCAGTTTTTGAGTTTTTTCGTATTTAGAATGGAAACAATGAAATGAAATTCAATACTATTCGAAATTATCCTAATTTTCTCACCAGTGATCCATGTATGGGTGATGGTTCTTCAATTGGAAGAATTGTGTATCCACGATAAAAATGACCGGAAATATTTTTGGAGAAAACTGCTTGAACTAGATCATGATAATCTGAACTCATTGGTCCTGATTCTATCTAGAAAAAAAATTTAAAGAAAAAAAAGGGGAAAGGAAAAGAGGGGTAATTAGTCTAAGAAATACAGAAGTTTTCCCTTAAAGCTACATTTTCTTTACGTACCTACATGAGAGCTGCTTCACAGCACTCTATAACAACTAATTCCCACAGTCTTCTATTTTCCAAACATCCTTATAGGAGCTATGTTACCAAAAACATTTCTACCTATACTTATTATAATATCCAAATAAAGAGAATATAAGCTCACTTCAAAGTAAATGAATTTTTAAATTTTTGAAAAAGGCATATAATTTCTTTGGACCACCAAACTTTCCCAATTAAAATTCATTTTTTTTATTTTTTATTTTATTTTATTTTTTTTTTAGAAAATGACTGTTGGAACTGCAATTTGACATAATCCAATAGTACAGAACTACCTACATTAGAAGATCCAACACGTGCATACACAGAATAACTTAGGATCAGTGACATATGTAAGATAGAGACAAAACTGAAAGAAAGCAAGAGGCATGACTGAGAGCCGAAAGCAAGGAGCTGGGAGCACTTGTAAAAACCACTTAAGACCCCACAAATTCCAATTCCATTTGGATGTTATTGCCCTCTTATAAACAGGTCTGTTCTGCTGAATGCAATTTTTGCTTATATTTTGTTCAGCCAGACGAATCTAGATGGAAAAATGTCAATGAAAATACGTTTCATATACTCAAGCCCACCATTTCAGCTATACAATGCACAGAGTTTAATTTACAGATGGGATTGGGTAAATAATTACTTCACATTCCTCCTCCATTTAACTGAATTTAGGCCAAATTCATCCTCACAATAGAGAGATTACTTTTTAAATGGCCAAACATGTCCTGTTCTACTTAATGACATTCAATGATGGATGACATAAAAATGAAGGAAACATACTAGAGCTGAAGTGTTGGTATGGAAAATATCATCACTTGCAAGTGAAGATTTCCTAAAATTTGAAAGATTAAAACTAAATGCATTTACAATTTGTATTTAATGGTGTGTTTAAGCAAACAACTGATAATGGTACAGACGATTACCATACCTTCGTCATGACTTCAGCGACACCCAGATCATGCCTGGCTGAAAACAGAATTAGCCTTGGTATAGAGCTAGGCAATTTGGAAACGGTTTCTTTTGGATTACTTCTTTTCAACAGAATATGACCTATTCCTCCAAACAGATTGAAGCAGTTGACTGCTATGTAGTCACCATCTAAGGCATCTTTTTCAGTGACAACCTAAAATTTTAAAATAAAGAAAAAAATGAAACAAAATTTTTAAGAGGAATGACAGATCAATTGTTTTGAAGACATTATACTGCAGTATCGTGCAAATATGCATTGTTTTATTGCGGTACCATGCTATACTATACTACTATTCAAGAATCCGAAATTTCATAATGATCCAACGAAAAGAAAAGTGAATGGATAGGAAAAGCATGTAACCTCAATAACTGCGCAACTTAATTCATTTCTTATCAAACAGGACTAGAAAGTTTTTTTTTAACAACAAAATCATCAGGGAGGTTTCTCAGATAGGTAGAATATTGGTGAAAAATAAGTTGGATCGTATTTTCATTAGGAAATATTACTGGGGGAGACTTGTAAACATTGAAAATTCTGTTAGGAATCCATGCAGAAAATAGCCTCTTCTATCATTGTCTCACAATTCTCTATTTCTGCACATTTCATGGCTTGATCTCTGTCTGGAACTTCCTCTGACAGCAATCATTGGACATCTCTGAAATATGAGCGTACCTTGATTGAGATACGCTAAGAGTGCCTAAGCTGAACACACTCCAACTCCCCCTCCTTCCCCCTCAGTCACGCTTTGAAAAACATTAAAGCTCACTTTACGGCTCTAATTATAATATCAGACTTATATGGCTTTGATTTCCTCCGTAGAATAATTTGGACCCAGCACTATCCTACCATTCTGATAGGTACACTTTGATCGGATACATACATTTTGGACAGCTGTAATGGTTTCACATTCAAGGATAAGTATGACATAAGGATGTTAAAATAAAAAATCAAACCTCTAACCGACCATCCGTGAGACCAGGAATTTTGGAGTTCGGAGTGTGATAGTTGATATTTGGGGGAATGAAACCGGAGTCTAGAGCAATTAGAGCTTTTATGATGGAGATAAAAGACGATGCTGCCTCTGTGTGGCCAGTGTTACTTTTTACTGATCCAATTTTCAGTCGACTTTTCCGATTTTTGCAAAAAAATTCAGTGACCACATTTAATTCTACCTCATCAATCACCTGCAATTGTTAAAAAGATTAGCAATTAAAAAGAAACGTTTATACCTAAAAAGATAAATTTAATTAAAAATTTGGAATAAATAACTGGAACCATTCATAAGAGGACTTTAGACCTGGGAGGTATATTATGTAAATTTTTAAAAAGAGCGATTTCTGTTCACTTGGGTTACCTCTATCTACATTTGGAGAGTTTCTGAGTGCCCTAATGCACTAGTGTAGAGGCTTGCTCAAATATATCATTTTTCTTAGGAAAACTTACTGGGACTCCGCAACCATAGGCTTCGTAAAAGGAGACTTCTGAAGGTGGAACTTTGCAGGAGGTATAAAACTCAGATAGAAAGGCTTTGAAGGATTCTGGCTTGACAGAGAGAATGTTTCTTGGTACATCATTTCCCTGGCTTACGTTGATATGAGCTATTCTACCATAGATTCTTCTTGCATCTTCAGCTCGTTGTAAGAATAGAACCACTGCTCCATCACTTCGTCCATAGCCGTCAGCTAGAGAACAAGAAAGAAAAATTGCTCACAAATTATTTTTTTCAAGTGTGATGAATGATTTTTTACACTATGAATAGAACATGCTATGTCCCATTGTCCAACCATCTCTTTATTGCCTTCAAAAATCATTTTCCACTATACTTATTTCTCAGGTATTTTTCAGTACTTTTTTTCTCTCCACATAGTTTCAGGTGAGTGGACTTCAAATAGCAAACAAAAAACCTAAATAATATGGATGAACTTTTCTTTATTTTAATGATGATACTACGAATAGGAGAAAGACAGATCAAATTGTAGAATCTTAGAGGCTGTTCAAAAATAATAATGTGATGGAAGCAATTGGGTTTTTAGACACCTACCCATGCCCTTAAATTCTCCGTTATGTGGCACTAGACACCTTTCAGTAACCCTTCGTTTTCCAAAAATACCACAAAAGGCGTATTAAATCAATGAATCAGGCATGGGAAGGCTGCATTAAGATAAAAGACAAAAAATAGAGGGAGAAAAATATAAAAATGCTTGGTTTTTTCTCTGGAATGCTACATGAAAATTCATGAGTAATGTGTGATGAAATACTCGGTTGAATACTCTTGCTCCCCTTGATATGCTCCCTGGATAGTGCTGCCTGTCTTGCAACCGACTATTTCTCAGGTTTTTGGTCTTTTACCTAAGTAGCATTATTCAACGAGAAAGTTGCAACTTCTTCAACCAAACCTGAGTTTTCATTATTACTTAATGGTGATAGAATTGCAGGATCAACAACATTCAAGCAATTTTACCCAATTTCATCTAAATTATTCTTAATGATAAAATGGATATACAGTCACTATAAAATCGCAATTTCAAGACAAATTTTCAACCAAATAACATCACTGAAAATGAATAAAGGAGCAATTCTAACGCAATAGGTAAATCACAGTCGAATGCAATGAATTGCAACAGATCATAACATATTGCGATTTTTGCTTCTGGTAACAATGCGATTAATTGCTGGCCATAAAATTGGAACTATCTATTGATCAAACCAGGACTTATTTTGGTCATTGCTATTTTAGAGGGTATAATTAAATCTTTGAAAAAAAAGGTAAGACACAAGTGACCCTTTCACTGGCATCTTGACAATGGTGGAAGCTTTTACTTTCGAGACTTCAGCATTCAACAGTTGACCTACCTACTAGGTCAATGGTTAACAGTGTGCTGGGAGTTTCATTTTACAAAGAAACCGAAGTTTGGTAAACTTGTTTGGCTTATGACGCCTTCCAAAGCTCATCATTCACCTAGTGGAGAAGATGACTGTTGCTCCCTATGGCTTGTCCATTTGGAAGTGTTGAATCCCCGAAAGTAAAAGCTTCCACCGGTAGCCAATTAAGAGGCCAGTGAAGGGTCTCTTGTCTCTGCAAATCACATAATAACTTCTCAAAATATTTGTTTTGAAGAAGGGTAGAAAGCAAATACATACCGTCCTCATCAAAAGGTTTTGTATCACCATTTGGACTTAACATCCCTAGCGAGTTATGGCTTCTCATCACTTCAGGGTACTGAACTACATTTGAGACAATGACTAAGGCATTTTTTGCTCGCCCTTTTTTGATGTCATCTGCAGCCAACTTCAGAATATCCAAACCACCAGTGAAGCTTGAAAAAGTTGTCACACTGGAGCCTGTAGAGAAGTAATGAAGCAGTTTATTCACCGAGAAGAGGCACCAATATAAAAAAAAGAAAAGGATTGAAGGGATTGTTAGTTTTGTGTGAATAAAAATTACAATTTTTTTAAAAGAACCAAATTGATTTCAGAGAATCATTTTGACCCAATTGGAAGAATACAGGCTATAACTTTTTTATAACTAATGGGGGTTTCAGGATATTTTGTCAACGGTTTTTTGTCCGCGCACCTGTTTTGCCCAGTAGTTTAAGTCCTTGTGTAAAATTGGCATCAGTGACTTAGTCCAAGCGTCATTTTATATAGTCCGTGTGTAAAATTATAATAAACTACAAAAACCCTCAAAAACATTTTCGGGCAAAAAATCCGGTCAAGGAAATTGACGTGTTACATCTTACTAACCAAAAACATTCCCTTTCACCCCTCCAAGAAGGTTGATAAAACTAAGTAAGTAACTATGAGATGGCAAAAACCTCTCTTAAATTCTCAGGGTCCACCAAGGCCACATATGTCCAAAAACTTACTCTATATGGTTTAAAAAAAAGAAACAAAAAATAATCCCTTAACAATAAGAAAATTTAAAAAAAAAAAAC